GGCTCTGGCTCCCGGAGTGGCTGGGATGTGCTGGGAGCGGAAGACCTTGTTCCAGAATCCGCTGTCCCCTTGCCCCTCCAGGCAATGTATGTTCTCCCCCAGCCCCCAGATCGCCTCCATGTGACCCAGCCCAGTTATTTGTGCTTGATGAAGCACCTTCCTTTGTCTCCTTCCTGTCCTGCCTGCTCTCCTGCCCCCACCCATGCTCTGTGGCCTCAATCCCAGATGAACCATTGCGGATCCCGGGGTCCACTGTCGTGAGTGGGGCCTCCCTGGAGACCTAGCCTGTGCTCACAAGAACTCACGGCCACGGTGCAGCTTCCCCCAGCCCATTTGGACACCTCCAAGCCAAACTCCTGGATGCTGTGGTACGTCACTGTGGGACAGGAACTGTGAATGAGCAGGGCTGGCCGTCCTGAGCTGCAGGGACGGAGGACAGCACTCGAGTAACCGTCGTGCTCTGCCCAGCCCGCATGTGGGATGTTTCCCCAGCGTCAGCACATCTGTCACACTCTGCATAATCAAGCAGCTGACCGGGTATAAACAGACCCCTGCTTCTCTTCCTGGGCCCTAGGAATCAATAGGAGGGGAAGAATGTGTGGGGGGGAGAATGCGGCGAGGGTGACGGTGACGCTGCCTTGTGTGAGGGCAAGTGCAGGGGACTGGGTTACTTAGTCCCTCAAACCCTCCCCACCTGCACCAGTTAACAGCACGAAGGCCCCCAGCACAGGCCTGAAAGGAAAGACTTGCAGGAGGGAGCAAGGGCTTACAGCTTTCACGCCACTGAAAGACAGCCCGTTCCAGGGAGCAAGACGTTTTGGACGGCAGGAGCAAAAGCCCAGGACAAGGGCATGACGGCGGCAATGCCGAAGCAGGCGGCCTCACCCCGGCTGGCAGCCGGCAGGCCTGTCCAGGGCACAGCCCCAGCCCACCCAGCCTGCCAGGGCCCAGCAGAGGAGGCACACAGCCGGGGTCCGGGAGAAGCCACCATTCCCTTCTCCTCACCTTCCTTCTAAGAAGTTTGCTGGATGCTTACAAAACAAAATTTTAACATTTAGTCTAACAATGGAATTGGCTTTCACTAGCAATTCATGCATCCGGGAGCACCTTGTCTGAAGAATAGACAGGCACCCTGTGAGTCTGCAGAATAGTTCCTACGAGGTAGCTGGATCAGGAACAGGGAAACCGAATCACACAAAAGTGGATGGATTAACACTGGTTTCTCTCCACATGGCGCGAAAGCAGAGGGGACCTCCTCACCACGTGGTTCAGGGTGTGACTGGCTGCAAATCTCCTGTGTTTGGGGTAAACTGGTCTATTTGGAGATTTTTCTCTTTCCTTGGTGTTAGTGGCTTTGCATCACTGTTACAAAATACTTAACATCATCAACTTAAAAAGAGGAAAGGGGCTGGGGATTTAGCTCAATGGTTCCACCGCCTGCCTTGCAAGCAGAAGGTCCCGAGTTTGATCCCTGATACCAAAAAAAAAAAAAAAAAGGAAAGGTCCATTTTTGGCTTAGGTTTGGAGGCTTCAGTCCATGGGTAGTTGGCCCTGTGGCGATGCAGCACACAGCTCACAAACGACAGAACCAAACACACCCTCGGCAGGGGGTGTGCATGGGGGGATGCAGGCGTGGGCCAGCCATCTACCTGTCCATCACGGGAGCAGTGTGGAAGCAGAAGCCCTTTCTCCTCAGGGCTGGATGGGTGAGAGGAAGAGCCTGGCTCTCTGCGAAGGCACAACCCCAGTGAGCGAAGCCTCCAACCCAGGCTGGGCTCCCAGGCCTTCACACCGACCGCAGCCCTAGTACAGCCTGGGGCTGAGCCCGGATGGCGGCTCCCTGCGCCCCTGCTGTGCTGGGCCCATGTAGGCGCTCAGTCCACAACCAAGGCTTCCTACACGGTGCAGTTCACAGAACACATTTGCCGTTCTTTCCCTCCCTTCTCCACTGGCTCGGCGGTTTTACAATCTGTTTCTACTTCTTTAATAGCCATCCTTAGAATCTAGCAATCATATTTCTTTATCAAAACAGGACATGAATGTTGTTCATTAAGAATTTTCTCTAGGAAAAGAAACAAAAATAACCCAAATGAAGAGATTGAAGGATCACACACAGCATAGTGATAAAATACAGGAGGAGCTTGGAGGTCCGGCAGTCCCAGAGGCATAGCAGAACAACAACAAAACAAATGAAACGGAAGAACCAAACTAACAATCATACGGTCCCTGTCAGAAACAGGGGTCAACTAAGACATTTCCCACGGCCAAAGCTGGAAAATCTGAGCAACATAGAAAGTAAAGTGGTACTGGGTTATGAAGTGAAAAGTAAATACCCACAGATCCATATCGATATAAATAAATGAGTGAATAAAGAAATACTTGGGGGGCCGGGGATTTAGCTCAGTGTGCCACTGCCTGCCTCGCAAGAGCAAGGTCCTGGGTTTGATCCCCAGTACCAAAAGAAACCTCCAAAAAGAAATACTTGGGGCTGGGCATAATGGTCCACACCTGTGATCCCAGGACTTGGTAGGCTGAAACAGGAAGATTGCCGTGAGTTCAAGGCCAAACTGGGCTACATAGTTAGTCTGTCTCAAAAAGAGAAAGAAAGAAGAGAGAAATACATAGAGAAGAAAAGCAAACTCTTCCATGGAGGGAACTGCACATGTATGTAGCTGTCAGGAGGTGCATCCTAAGGGCCGCTCTGAAGGGGCGTGTGGAAGGTGGGAGGGGTCGTGATGGCACTGCAGTGGCAGGAGGTGCTAGCTCATGTCCACCCGTGTCCCTGCTCACTGTGGGGCGGGGGCCACCTGCATCCTGTGATTTTCTCCCCAGACACACAGTCCTCGTCTGATCATGAGAAAAAGATCAGACCAATCCCAATGGAGAGACATTCCAGAAATACTTGCTTAGGCCATGTGTGGTGGCACACACCTGTGATCCCAGCACTCAGGAGGCTGAGGCAGGAGGATCACTATGAATTTGATGCAAGCGTGGCATCAAAGTGCCAGTGAGTTCCAGTGCGTAGTGAGTTTGAGGCCAGCCTGAACTGCATAGTGAGACCCTATCTCAAAACTCAAACAACAAGAACAACAACAGCAAAACCAAAAAAACAAAGAAAAACTTCTATTCAAAAATGTCTGATCAAAACTCTAGGTCATCAAAAAGTGGGAAAGTTTGAAAAACTGCTACAGCCAAGAGGAGCCTTAAGGTGACATTACTAAATACGATGTGCCATCGTGGGTGGGACCTTGGACAAGAAAGGACATTCAGTAAAGCTAAGCAGCTCTGAAGAAAGCTGGGGTTTCCCCCACAGGAATGCATCGGCATTCGTTCATGAAGTACGGCAACTGGGCCGGATCAATCTAGGGTGTCAGTTAGGAGAAACTGGGTGTAGTGCATACAGGAATAATCTGTCTTAACTTTGCAATTTTTCTATGAATCTAATATTATTCCAATATAAAAAGTTCATTTTAAATAAAAATCGGGAGAAGAGAAAGTAAAAATGAACAAGATTTGACACATGTATGTACTAATTCCCCACTATGAATGTAACATTACCTATACCGAACATACCCTAATAATAACAAATTTAAAAAACAAAAGCAGAACGCCCTCCCTACAGCAGGCAGGCACCACCCCTCTGTCGGGGTCTGACCAGAACTGGAAGCCAAGGAAGGGCAAATCTCCATTTCCTGCCCTCGAGATGTGATCAGCCCCCCGACCCACTCCGTCCTCAGGCTGCAGACTGAATTACACCACCAGTTCGTCCAGTTCTCTGGGCTGCAGATCGCTGGATGTCTGTCTGGATAACTTCCTAAGCCAACTCCTCAATAAATATCCTCTTAAATTAAAAAATGGCGGGCTGGGGATTTAGCTCAGTGGTTCCGGCGCCTGCCTTGCAAGAGCAAGGTCCCAAGTTCGATCCCCAGTAAGGGAATAGAAGTAGGCTGGGGGTGTGCTCAGGGTAGAGCACACGCTTAGCAAGCCCGAACCTGTGGGTTCATTCCCTAGCACCAAAAAGCAAACAACAACAAAAAAGATAAACACACACCAGGGCCAGGGATGTAGCTCAGTGATGTTGCGCTTGCCTCCCAAGCACAAGGTTCTGAGTTCAATCCCTGGCACCGAAAAAAGAAAAAAAACCCAAACACACCAGTTTTTCTTACTTATGTATTTCATTTTTTTCCTGTAATACTGGGGGTCAAATCCAGGGCCTTGGGCATCCTAGGCAAGTGCTCTACCACTGAGCTACACCCCTAGCCCAACCAGTATACTTGAAATGACTTTTTTTTTTGGTACTGGGGATCAAACTCGGGTCCTTCTGCTTGCGAGGCAGGTGGTGGAACTTGAAATGACTTTTAATAGAATTAAAATATTTCATGAACTTATTATTAAAGAATTATTTAAATATAAAAAGAATTATAATTCGAAATGAAAAGATTATTTTCACAAAGTCTGGAAAGTTACAGGAGAAGAAAATGAGAAGGAAGGAGAGTCTAAAGATTTAATTTTGTTTAAGATATAATTTTTATGTAGAAATAATTTAGTTATTAGGGGGTGATTGCTATGGAAATAGAAATAGCTGCGGGACATCCAAATTGACAAAGGAGAAACTGATAAAGCATAGTCAAGTCAAACCATGAAATGTGACAAGACTTAAAGCCCATGGCAAAGCATGGCCAAATTCAATATTAAATGGGCGAATCCCCCGTAGAAAAAGAGGACTTGCAGAGTGAGTGAAAGAAAAAGAAACCCTAGATTTAGGGTGTTTGCAGAAGATGTGTCTAAAAATATGATTTTTTTTTTTTGGTACCGGAGATCGAACTCTGGTCCTTGCGCTTGCACAGCAGGCGGCGAAATCACTGAGCTATGATTTTAAAAAATATGATTTTTTTTAAATTTAATTTTTAATTTAAAAAATTAAAAAATATGATTTTTTAAAAATAGGAAGTAAAGAGAAGAGCAAAAATGAAATAAAAGAATGCACAAAAATTAAAAAATCAAAAGAAGCCATAGGTGACGCTATTACTAATGCAACAGCCCTCTCTTCTCTGCACGCCACCTCTCTGGGCTCACAGCCCCGAGTCCTCTGCAGTCCCTACCAGCATGCTCTGCCTTTTCCCCAGTAAATCTGAGAATCCAGAATTGTGTTTACTCTTCCCAAAAGCCATTCAATGATGCTTGTTCCTCTGGTGCCTGAGTGACTGGCTGCGGTGACCGGCCTCTGTCCAGAGTCTCCCCCGGCTCCGTAAACACCAGGTTGTCACGATTAATTAGAGTCACTACTGAGGCCCAGGACAGTGATTCCAGGTCCCCTGAGCAGGACAGACAGACTTGCTGCTTTGATAGCCGCTGATCCCCAGGTTAGCCAGCAGATTTTATGTCACTCCAATCAAGTGCCAAGGAGATCTTAAGAAAATGACAATGTACACTATTCTAAAATTTATATGGAAAAACGAGTACAGGAGTATACCCACGACCATTAAAAACAATCAAGGAGCATTGGTCCTGACCAGAAAGCAAAACGTAATAAAGTCATGGTCACTGAGGGGCCATTTCCACCTTAGGAGTAGACAAGTTTCCAACAGCACAGAACCAAAGTTGGAAACCTACAATCCATGAGGATTTAATAGATTATGGGGAGCAGGGCACCATTCTCCTTTTTAGTAGCCGGATTCCTTCTGTTCTTGGATAATTCCAATAGAAACTGTTTTCCTAGAAGAAAACCTTGGGAAGTTTCATGGATCCTGTGGTGGCTGTTGAGACACAGTCTTAGGTAAAATCCTGGGAAATATTCAACTCAGAGAAAATACTTTCTGAAAAAACTTTCACAGTCTTCCACTCTACTCCTACCTAGCTCTTCTTCCTCTTTTGAAAGTGGTGACCCTGGCATGTAGACTCTGGGGGACTGTGCCCTCCCTGTGTCCCCAGGCCATACCCCACCACCCCTTCAGCAGTTCTGTGCGTCCGTGTGTGTTTTGCAGGGCTGGGGATCTGGCCCAGCCCCAAGCATGCCGGCAAGTGCTGCACCCCAGCCCCCCAGCAGCTCTTAAGGAACATTTTATTAGGAAACATGGCAGGCCCGAAGACAGAACCTAATACCACTCCCCATGGGCACATCCACGGCTTCAACCAGTATCTGCGCCAAGCTGGTCTAGCTCAGCCTCGGCTTTTCCTGGCCTGAGACAGCGGTTTCATTCATGAACGTCTCCTCGCCACGCCTCTGCTGCACAGACAGTCTGTGCAGGCTGAGCCACCTAGAACGCACGCACTGTTTGTGAACCCGGCTGACAAACTGACCCGACTCGGCTCTTTGGGAGCTGGGAGAGTGTCCACAAAATTTTCACTTTCTTCTTTGGTTGTTGTTTCACCCTGGTTTCCTATCGCTTTCTGAGGTCACATTGTTAGCTTGGATTTTGCTGAAAAAATATACCGAGTTCATCAAATTCTTTATTTTCATGAAATCGCACCTCACAGGAGAAAAAACATGTAAAAGGCAGCAAGTCAATGCCAGAGGAGCGACCCGGTGATTCAGGGGGAAAGGGGAGACCTGGAGGAGGAGGCCACACTGGCGTCGAGGGCACAGATCTGGGGCATGGGTGGACTGCCCCAGCGTCTGCCAGCAGGCCAGGCAGAGGTACCGGATTCCGATCCACGTGGCCCGGTTGCTGTGTTGACCAGGAAATCACAGGCTTGAGACCAGGAGCTGCAGGGCAGGGAAGCCCGGAAATCAGAAAGCGACTGTGTAAGAGCAGCTGGGCTCCCGAGGGAGAGGCCCCTGGGGGGCGCGGTCAGCTGGTCTGTCTTCCAGGTCTGCTGGGCAGCAGGCTGGCACTGAGCCAGAGGCAGGCTTTAGTGGATCAGTTGGAGAGGCTCTTTCTGCTGATCGGAACAGAAGACAGGAAGGGAGTAGTGGCCCACAAGGATGCACTGGGGCGTGGGGGCAGGGGCAGGCTGGGCCCAGAGCTCTGCGGGCCCGAGTGGAGGCTGGGGGACTGGTTGTGCATCCAGGGCACAGGGCCAGAGCTGGGCAGGAGGGTGTGGCTGAGGCAGGAGCTCAGAGGCGACCGGGAGTGGGAGCCGTCCGGTGCCAGCGTATCCAGCCACCCTTGGCTTCTGTCTCTCAGCATCCAGCCAAGTGTGTCTGCTGTCGGGTCCCCCCCGGAAGGTTTGCTTTCTCTGCGCTTTCCATGCCGTGCAGAACAAGTTGTAAGCCAGGCCTGAAGTTTTCTTTCTAGTCGGGTGCTCAAAGGGAGCTCCTGTGAAGAAAAACCTGTAGGTTAGACATGTATCTAGAGGAGGCATGGGGCTGGGCCTGGTGGCACAACCTGTAATCTTAGCACTCTGGGAGGCTGGGGCAGGAGGGTCACAAGTGTGAGCCCAGCAGGGCAACTGAGACCGTATCTTAAAATAGAAAATGGAAAAGGGGCGGGGCTGTAGCTCAGTGTGAGGGCCCTGGCTGGAAGGAAGAAGCAAACTGGAGGGGTGAGCAGCCCGCTCAGCACCTTCCTAGCACCCTCAGGCCCTGGGGAGGTGCAGGCACAGACCTCGAGGCTGTGACTCAGCTCTCAGTTGGCAGCTCCCATCCCAGGGCGCCTGGGCCACCCAGTATCCACCTGGGCCTGCTGTGAGCAGAGCTGCGTCTCCTGAGGGGCGTAGGCTCCATCCAGGGTCCTGGCACTCCTATGACCCATGCCGATGCTAGGAGGACATGAGCACCGTTGCCCACTGGAGTTCACGGCACACACCAGAGCCTCCGAGTGCTCCTGGTGGAGGGGAGAACCTGCCCCGCAGGGACCACTCAGTGAGCACACAGGAGGGGCAGAAGGCTGAGAGTCCCCAGCACTGTGTCCTGTGATGCCTTCGTGCTTCTGAGAGATGGCCCCTGCTTAGTGGACAGCTGGGTCGTCAGAAACTCAACCCGACAAAGTCTTCCACTTTCTCTCAGGGTTCAGCTCTCTCCCCAGCAGGAAAATGTGCACGTCATTATGGGATGGAAGGCCCGGCCTTGTCTGCCTTCCTGATTCTGTCCACACGATGCCTGGCCCTGGACAATGACAAGCTGGGCCCTGTGGTCACACAGGTGGCACAGAGCCAGGAGTGGGCAGCCCCAGGCCAGGTTTGCCGCCTGATCTCACTGGAACGTGGAATCTGCTGACCTTGATCTGTGCCAAGTGCTGAGTTGGGGTTCGATGCAAGAGACAGCTTCTGTGGCTCTGTTGCATGCTAAGGTGGCTCTTGATAACTACACTGCACTGCGTATTTCAAAAAAGCCAGAAGGGAGGATCTGTGTGTGGGGCCGGCCTTGAACCCAGGTCCTCCTCATGTCAGGTAGGCACTCCACCATTGAGCTACATCCCGGTCCCCCTTCCCCTCCTCTTTGAACCAGGGTCATGCTATACTGCACAGGCTAGCCTTGAATTTGTGATCTTCCTGTCTCAGCCTCCCCAGTAGCTGGGATAACATGTGGCTTAAAGTGAAGGAGTTTGAGTGTTTTACCACACAGAAATGATCGGTGATGTGGACGTAGGTGTGAGATGCCTGATTTGAACAGCACACAACGTATCCATCCACGAAAGCGTCACACAGCACCTCATCTAGGTGTCAATTAAACAACAAAATTTTAAAACCACAAAAATAAAAGTGAAAAAAGGTAAACCCAAAAGACAAACCTCAATTCTGAAAAGAACAGCAGCAGCGCCGAGGGTGTGCTATTGCCGATTGGGAGGAGGCGAACTCTCACCTGGTCCTCTGGCCTCGGAGAGAAGGACGTCTGTGTTGGGAGGGCTGGTGGTCAGCGAGGAGGCCTCGAGGGTCTGAGGGTGTCTCGTCCCCGGCCCCTGCCGGAACTGAGCCTGTCGGGCCCTGGTGGGAGGTGCAGGAGAGGTGGACTGAGCGATGGGCAGCTCTCGGCCGCCGGAGCAGCTGAGCCTGAGCGGCCCAGGCCCCGCTTCCTGCCTCCAGTGTGGCACCTCTGCCAGCAGCCTCGGCAGGGACGGAGCGAGGGTGCCGCCTAATCTGGGACTGGCAGCCCCAAATCCAGGCTCAGGGAGGCTCCTCTCTGTGGTGGTCCCCACCCACGAGTCTTCAGTTCTCTGCGGATCTCAAGCGTTTGTGTCTGGGTCCTGGGCCGTGGCTTACTGCTCCACAGCCTTTACCCTAAAGATTATTTGTCCCATTTGAGTACAGACAACGATTTAAAAAATTGGTTTCCAACATTCCGCTAAAGGCTGCCAGGTTTCCTTACCTTAAAATGAACTGGGCTTCAGCCAGACTTGGTGGCACACGCCTATAATCTCAGCTCTCTGTGAGGCTGAGGCAGGAGGGTCGCAAGTTTGAGCCCAGCCTGGGCAACTGACTAACTTAATGAGCTCCTCTCTCATAATAAAATTTTTTTAAACAACTGGGGATGTAGCTCAGTGCAAAGGCTCTGGGTTCAATCCTCAGTGACAAACCAAAAACAAAGAGAAAGACAAAACAAAAATGGATGTCATCTTCTTCACCCCCAGGCAGAACAGATTATCCACTGAATTTCCTCCAGATCTGAGACCCTTTGGGCAGCAGGCAGCTCTTAATTAGAAGCAATAGATGCGGACCCCGACTGATTTAAGCAAAACAGGAACAAACTGCAAAAATACTTAGCGGCTGACCGAGGTCTCATAAGGCTGGAGACCTCGGCTTGAAGAATCAGAAGGATGAAGGGCACCGCGGGGCTCGGACTCGGGCTGGGGTGAGGGCACCGCGGGCGCCAGGGCTGAGCGGGGGCTGGAGCCAGGGGACTGTCTTCCGGGCTGGGGCTCGGTCCGCGGTGGCCAGAGGCAGTTTAGGGTTCTGGCGTGGGTTCACTTGAGTTCACAGAGAATCTAGGGGTGGGGCTGTCACGGACCGCGGTCTAGGGAGACATCAAGGCTCACAGTGACCGGGCACCCCGTGAGCGAGTCTCTCCCGGGTTCCCGGATCCGCCGGTGCATGTGTCTTCCTCCAGGATGGGACTAACGTCAGCCTCGGCCCTCAGCTGCCTGCGGTCGCTGCCGTGCAAGCATTCGACTGTGGCCAGCACGGGCGGGCGCCTTAGGCGCAGCCTGCAAGCAGAGCTCCAGGGCTACAGGTGACGTCACCATGCTGGGCTGCTCCCCCCACCCCACCCCGCGGACCTGTCCCGCTCCCCACCCCCTCTGAGAGCACCTTCCCGGTGGATCCCACGCCGGAGGTGTCCTTTGTGGGGTTCAAGCGGCCCGCGAGATCCCAGTATGGAGAGATCTGTGTTCTGAGCTGCTGAGTGGAACCTGCGCGCCGCCCTGTGCACCCTGCCCAGGGCCCGAGTTCCCACAGGAGCAGGGGCGGGGCTCTTTCTGCGCCTGGCCCTCTCCCTGGCCAGTGTGCAGCCCAACACACACTAGGTCCCATAATGCATGGATGGGGCGGGCACAGGACTCTTGGCTTTAAGTCCTGGGCTGGACTTAACTTGGTGCTCTCCATGCAGCTCGGTGCCCAGGGACCCTGCCCTAAGGACCCCTGGTCACTGCTGTCCCCTGCATCTTCATAATCCCTCACTCCCTGCAGTGACTTGTGTTTGAGTTCGCTCTCCCGAACTCCTGGGCTCCGGAGATCCTCCTGCTTCTGCCTCCCCTGCCACAAGGCTGTGAGCAGGCCGCCGCTCACTCAGCACTGCAAATCCCTTTTCTTCCTTTGTTATAAAAATTTAAAATCACAATTAAGATCTGTCCCCTACTGGTGTAAAAATAGCTCAGTGGAGCAAATGAATAAGCTAGAAACAGACCTGAATCCATACATTTAAAAATTGGCCTACCACAAGGGAACCATTGTGAATTCCCCAGGAAAGAATTTTAATGGTGATATAATTGGGTAATTATTCTGAGTAATAAAGTTATAACCTCATTCCCAATGATTACCAAGATAAATTTTGCATAGATTAAACAGTCTTCTATAAAAAGAGTGAATCAATAAGAGCAGAAAAATAGCAAATGTCAAATCTCCAAACAGGAAACAGCTTTTTAAGCCTAAACATTATTTCTCAGGGCTGGGGGTGTTGCTCAGCAGTAGGGCCCTGCAGTCTAAACCAGTGCTCAGTACTACTACTAATACTATTTTTAAAAATTTTAATTCATTGTTTTTGTGACAAGGACTCATTATGTTGTCCAGGCTGGCCTCAAACTCTGGCAATCCTCCTGCCTCAGCCTCTCAGGTTCTGGAATTACAGGTGTGTGCCACCATGCCTGGCTTAGTAATAATAATTAAAAAACCACAGAAGAATGCTTAAACCTTTGACACCAACTTGTTCTGTGGGAGTCTATTCTCAGGCAAAACCCAAGAGCTGCTGGCCAAGGCTAGGGAGTGACAGCGGCCCTTTCTGTGTGCCTTGAGTGTGAGGAAAGAGGAACAGAAACTGGCTTCCTTCTAGGCAAGCAGGGTGGCCTCTCCTTTCCCCACTGCTGGTGTGCAGGGAGCCTGGTCCAGGTTTGTAAGAAAAAACTCCAAATTCAAATTGCCTGCAGCCTGTTTGCACTGCTGGAGGTAAAAACAGTAGTGGAGACGCTTGGCTCTGCCCTGTGGGCTGGAGAGAGTGGAGGAGGCCGCCCATCAGGAGGGCAGCAGTCAGTGGGATCCTCAGTCAGGCGCTGGTGCCCATGGACTTTCTTCTAGCCAGGGAAGAGGGGAGGCGAAAGCCAGAGGGCTTCCCATGGGTCCTCAGGCGAGGGGCTCCCAGGTGAGAGGCGCCCACCTCATCTTGTCTGTGTAGATGTTTTATGTACCTGACACAGGCACACATGTCTAGTCTACACGTGTGCATGTGTTACATACATCATATACATAATGCACATCTAGCACGATTGTGCCCACGTGCACAGTGCATCATTTGGAAGTATGGATTCCTTTAGATGATACACACACAGGGCATGTGGTGCCCAATTCAAGATGCAGAAAATGCACCTCTTACACTAACTCTTGCTCTCCCTCCCTCCCCTCCAAACTCAGAAGCCCCTGGCTTCCACACCCCTCCCCTTGGAGGGGCTGTTGGGGGAGTGTTCTTCGAATATATGAGCAAATCTGTGCATGCCATCTTCCTCCTCTTTGTCTCTCTCCACGAATTCTAATATGATGCTCAGTATTAAGCATTTTGCATTTTCAAGATCATTCCACAGATGCCTGGGAATTTAGGCAATCCAGAAGCTGGTGTTTCAGCTCCCAGGCTCACTTGGGAACCTGAACAACACTCTGCTGATTTTCACTGTTTTTTTTGAAATTGAACAAATGCTTGTCAAGGTCTTATTCCTGGACCAGTAGTGGCCACTGAGTGGTGTGTGTTTTCTCCAGCTTGGATTTTGGGATGGTGTTTTAAAATTACCTATCAGAGGGATTCTTAAACTTTGCTGGGCCACTGGCATCTTTGAAAAATCTGACCAGGGCAATGGACTGTATTCAGAAGATCCACATGCCTACAAAAATTTAACTGTCTTGCCTTAGCTGGTTCATGAATGGCCTGAAACACCCGAGGAAACTATCCTAAGAAATCCCAGGATGTGAAACTTTTCAGGTATTTGGGACCATTCATCAAAATTTAGAATAAGTCACATTTCATCAGATTTACTATCTTCGCTAATTTGGGAGTGGTCCACAAGGAGAGGCTTTCCATACCAAAGCTGCCAAAGGCACGGAAAGATAAGACTGAGGCAGCTCTAGGAGTTGGAAATAAAATAACAGATGAGAGTCACCTGGGGTGGGAAGGGTTACTCCACTCAGACCCACAAATTCTACCCCCAGATGGAAATGTGCACTTCAGGGCCCCTCAGATCCACAGGACCCCAAGTTCTGTGGGTGGGGCAGAAATGTTTAAACTTTATTTTTTATCAGTACATACTTGTCATACATATTGCCCTGTACATATTTTTTCCCCATTTCCCTCCCCTCTTTCCAATCCTTTCCTCTCCATTTACAAAAGCTTTTCTATTTTTTTTCTTCCATTTCCTTGTCCCTTCTTCCTTTCCCCTTCCCTTTTGAACACGTTCTTCCTACTTCCCAATGTCAGGTAAGGCTACAGTCTGGAGGTGCATCCGTTTACCTACAAATGCCTCAAGTCTATCCTTTACTGGAGAGCAGTACTCCACTGTATAGGAACACATTTAATCCACTCAGTTGCTGATGGGCATATGGGCGTTTCTAAGATTTAGCTACTGCTGTCTGCTACTATAAACATGGGCGTGTACACATTACGGCGGCATGATGCCTGTAACTCTCCGGACGCCAGAAATCTGAAAAGTGTCGGGGAGTGCGTGGGAAGCGGTTTGGAAGCCACTGCGCAGGCCCCCAGTGAGGAGGGCGCTGGATCCAACGACCCGGGTGGGAATTTAGGACGCGGGCTCTGAAAGTTTAGGCAACTCTGGACGGCTCCCTGTGAACATAGCCCGCTCTTCTCTGCACGCACCCTGAGGATCCCGAGGGGTCCTCCCGCCGCCCACGCTTCCGAGCTCCTGGGAGGGGGCCCCAGGAAGGAGCGATAGAAAACGGGGGCCAGGGCCACACAGGCCCAACACAGTCCGGGAGCTCCGCTCAGTCGGCACCACACCCAGGGCTCCCGTTAGCACTCCCACTTCCGGTGAGTAGGCTGTGGGACCGGACGCTCAGCCAATCAGCACCCTGCTCTTCTTCCGGTGTTCTGCCTGCTACCATGGAGACGGACCAGGCGAGTCCAAAGGCGGAGGGGGGCTCGGCCTGCCGTGCAGCAGTGAGTCCCGCCTACCACTGGCAGTTACCTCCTGGTCCCGGCCAGTGGGCTCATCCAGGGTGGGCTCCGCTCATTCACTTCCGATTTCCGGCCAATGGGAGCGCGGGCCGGCCACTCAGCGCCCGCCCCTTTGGCGTCGCGAGCTGCCCGGGAGATGGGCGGGCGAGTCCAGCGCGGAAGGTGCGGCTGACCAGGTTCGTGGCGTCCGTGGAGCCCGTGGGCCGATTCGAGGCGCCCTCTGTGGCCCCTGCGCCCTCCCGGGCCGGCTTGGCTTCGCGGCCTCTGAGGAGGGGCCGGACGGCCGCGGGGCGGCGGCTCCTCTCCCGCTGCGTCCCACTGGGCCTGGCCTCCCCTTGCCCCCCAGGTTCGGTTCGGGAGCCAGTCGCGCCCCGTGTGGGCAGGGCGCCGGCCCCGCAGAGATCCGGGTCCGGCCTGTGGAGAGGACCGCTCCCGCCGGCGCCCCTGCCGGGCTGTGCTGGGTCCCGAGTAGGAGGCTCCAGAGCTAGGGCTTTCCCGGAGGACTTTTCGGCTGAGTAAAAAACGCCCCACATTTTTATCAGCGTTCTCTGTGTGTCGGAACCAGCCTAGAGCTCGAACCTGACCGAGGGGCGACGAGGATGGAAAATAAAGAGACAGAATCAGGGCTAAAACGCGGAGGGCCGGTGGCTCCTGGCCCCTTGCGACCTAGAGCCCAGGTGACAGGCGTTATTTACTCAGACGCGGGCCCGGCGGTCAGCTCCGCGGCATTCCTCTGCCTCACCCTCCAAGCCCTGTCCGGGTGAACAGCAGGGTCTCCGCTTTTCCGACTTCTCCCGTCAGCGTGTCAGCACGCTCGCATGCCCTCCTTTTAGTGCTGAGCGAGGAGGCCAGTTGGGCCTCAGTCTTCCCATCAGGCCTCCCACAGCTGCTCAGGTTAGCGGGTTTCATTTTGGCAGATTTGTACGTGGCCGTAACACACCTGACACCCCCCCCCCTCCCCGGCCTAAGCTTCGCATTTGGGGAGGCTTCAGTGAGCGTAATGTAGCTTGAGCCTATTCACCCCACATTACTCAACCCTCACACCCTTCCTGTATTCTATTTCTCTTGTCTACTGATAGCCTTCCTTCTATTTTATTGCCATCGTTTTTACATTCTAGGTATTTGAGAGAACATGAGCTATTTGTCTGTGATCTGGCTTATTTTGCTGTACATGCTGATCTTTGAGATCCTTTTTTTTTTTTTTTTTGGTTAATGACAACATTTTGTTCTTTAAAGGGAATTTCTTTTTTTGAGGCAGGCTCACTGTATAGCCCAGGCTGGCCTCAAACTCAGTAGGTTGTCCTGCCTTAGCCTCCCAAGTGCTAGGATTGTAGACATGCATAGCTCCATATGTAATGTTTTAATGGAACCCAGTGCTTTGCATTCAGTTATGCTGCTTTCCTGCCTTAACAGCAGAGTTGAGTCGTTGGAACAGGAACTATAAGGCCTTTTTTTTTTCATCTAAAAAGATGAGTTTTCTTTTTTTTTTTTGGTACTGGGGATCGAACTCAGGTCCTTGTGCTTGTGCAGCAGGTGGCAAAACCACTGAGCTAAATCCCCAGCCCTGAGTTTTCTTATTTGAGGTGCAGTGTATTGCCCTTTAAAATTTGTTTTAAAAATCTGTAGAGATTTACCACAGTAAGGATTTTTTTGTTTGTTTGTTTTTTGAGACAGGGTCTCACTATGTAATTCAGGGTGGCCTTGAACTTACTATGTAGTCTGGGCAGGCCTCGAACTCAAAGTGATCTCCTGCCTCAGCCTCCTGAGCGCTGGGATTACAAGTGTGCACCACCATACCCGGCTCAGTAGTGTTAGCAGTAGTCACACTGTTCTGCACCGTAACTCTTTCTCTTCAGTTGAACATCTGTACCTGTGAAATCACTGGCTGTGCCCTCCTCATGCTGCCCCCTGGCCACCAGCATTCTGCTGTCTGGTGCTGTGAGTGTCACTGCTCTGGTGGCCTTGTTTAATTGGTGCCTGGCTGACCCCACTTCCTAGAACGTCCCTAGGGCTCCTCACGCTGTTGCTGTCCTGGAAGGTCCTGCCTTTTTAATGCTTCATTGAGCTCCCTGGGGATTAGTAAAGCCCACTTCTGGGGTATCTGGGGGGGACTTGCAGGCATGGCCTTGGGGTCTGTGTCTATCCCTCCCCCTTCTCTCCCAGTGTCGCCTGCTCTGCTCCTTGGCCACCGAAAGCTGAGCAGCTTTCCTCTGCCAAGCCTTCCACCATGATGTTTGTGCCAGCAGACCATGGACTGACTCCTCTGAGCCCTCGAGTCAGATAAACCCCTCCTCCCCCTCCAAGTTGTAGGCAGTCTGTCCCAGTAATGGGAAAGCTGACTAATACCCCACATAATACTTCACTGTGCATGTGTGTACATACTGCACTTGTGTGTATGTGTGTGTGTGTGTGTGTGTGTGTATGTGTATATATATACCACCTTGTGGTACTGAGCCATCACACTGAGCTGCATTCCTAGTCCTTTTTATCTTATTTTCTTACAATCTTGAGGTGATCTTCCTAAATTGCCCAGGCTAGATTTGAACTTTGGATCCTCCTGCCTCAGCCTCCCAGAGTGCTGGGATTGTAACTCCAGGGTTTCCTTTTAGTTTTCTGAGCCACACTGCAGTAGCAGCATGTGCACCTCCAGTTTTTCTCCATCCTGGCCAACACTTGCTGTTGTGGTTTTGTGCTTTCGTCTTTATTGTGGCTCCCTTTATGGTGTGAGCTTGTGATATCTTGCTGTGGTTTTGATTTGCTTTGATAAGCGATGTCACGTTTTTCCATGTGCTTGTTGGTAGTTGATGCATCTTTTTTGGAGAAAAGTGTATTCAGGTTCCTTGCCCCGTCAGGATGAAGGTCCTGTTGAGTTTTAGGACCTTGTTTTGTGTTCTGGATGCCAGCCTCCCAAGACGTGTGGCTGTGGATGCCCTTTCGTTCTGGTGCTGGAGTCCTCATGCACAGAAATTTCTAATTTTGGTGTAGTTGCATTTACTTTTACCTTTGTGGACCATGATTATGGTGGTGTTTATTGCCCCTTTAGAGGAAATGAGGTATCATGCACATAGAATGAAATCACCCCTTAAAATGCACCATTCAGAGGTTTTCCGTGCAGTGAGGAAGTTGTAACCATGGCCACGAGTGAGTTACGGAATATTTTCGGCCCCCCTGAGAGAAACCTCAGCCCTGAACTTGTTGCTCTTTTATTTCAGAGGGGTTTTGTTAGGGGCTGTGCCTCCTGGCTACCAAATGAAATGCAGGTCATGTTTAAAGAGGATATTTAATGCTTGGGTAATTTCTGGGAAATATTTTTTTCAAAAAAGGAAGAGAATGAGGTAAATTTATGTTCTTTTTCCTCCAGCTTTGGTGAGATACAATTAGCAAATAATACATTTAAAGTGTGAAGTGAGACACTTTGATAGTCCTGTACACTGAGTTCCTGGAAGGGTTTCCACAGTCTAACATGCATAATCCCTTCAGAGACACTAGTTATCTGAAAGATTTTAGAGTACTTTGATAATGTACCTGTGTTGTTTGTGATTCTAATTCTACTCTTCTACTTTAATTCTAGGTGAAATCTAGTCTGATAAAAGATTATACAAAGTCCTTATTCACTCATGAAATGAAAAACAAATAATGGCCAAGAACTTGAACATGTTTAACTGTATGCACCCTGAGTCTGAAGGGTGAAATGCTTGGTGAAAAGCACAGTTCCTGACTGAGGCCGGAGGCCAGCAGTTCCATACATAGTGAGCATTTCAGTGTCTGTTGGACACCTGAGGCTCTGTGGCGGCCACAGGGTCTGTCACAGCGTGGGGAAGCAGTAATAGAGTGAGCTGTGTGGCTCCATCCCCTAACTGGAGTCATGGAAGCGGGCGCCAGGCGTGATGTGTCCTGTGCTGTGTCCCGCAAGCCAGTATTTTGCTGCCCCTGACTCCGGATGTACTTGGGCTGGCTCCGTCCCGTGGGTCAGGTGGAGCACTGTTGCTCCATGTGTGTCTCCACATCATTCGTACAGCCATTGTTGCATTTGCTTCTCATAGCTGGTGGCGTTTAAGGGACACATGTTAGCCTGTCATGCAGATACTGACTCTCCTCTCTTTTGGGCTAGGTTTCCATTGTAAAAGGGAAATCAAGAAAGATAGCAAAGTGGAAGAAAATCTCATTCATTCCCCAAGTTTGTACTTGTGTTCAAAATAGCTGTTTTCAGTTTAAGATCTTGTTGTAGGAAGTTGAACATTGATTTGTGAATTGCTTCTTTTATTTATCTTTTCTTTAGTTTTGTTTATAAAAAATGATGCAAGTTCCAGCACTGGCAGGTGGATTATATGGATTTGTAGGATTATTAGGTTTATTTAGATTTGAAGTACCCCAGGCTAAGCAGTCTATGCTAATGACTTGCTCTCTTGTACCTCTGTTTACCTTTAGATGCCGTTTGATTGTGTGTCAGCTGGCCCGAAATGGAAAACTTTATCCTATATGAGGAGATTGGCAGAGGAAGCAAGACTGTCGTCTATAAAGGGCGACGGAAGGGGACGATCAACTTCGTGGCAATTCTTTGTACCGAGAAATGCAAGAGGCCGGAGATAACCAACTGGGTGAGTCAAGTGGGTCTCCTTCCACGAGGGACAGACAGCTGCGACAGGAGAGCGACAGGGGTGTCAGGACAGAAGCCACCGCAGGCTGTGTCACCTGCTGCATTTTCAGGCTGCAGCGAGCGCCCTTTGTTGGTTGGGTGGTGCTGCCAGAGTAATAGACTGGTCCCGGGAGTCACCTCTGAAGGGTGCTTAGGGTGCAAAGGAAACTACCAGATGTCTCCTGCGACTGAGGATATGAACATGAAGTTTCCCAAAAGGATCCTGGGTGAGCGCTTAGCTTGGAGTAGCAGTGTCACTCTCCAGCCTGTGCCATGTGGGCCATACCTGGCATCGCTCACGGGTGACTGACAGGCTGGTCCTCAAGATTGTGTGGAGCCACCGGGGAGAGATCTGGAGGCTGAGGCCGCATGATGCTTTCCAGCTCTCTCAGGAGCAGGAGCAAACGCTGCCCTTCTCGGTGAACCCAGCCCTGACCGAGTCTCGGGCCTCTGCCTTAGCAGGGAACCCTGAGCACCTGGTGGAGAGAGTGTCGCCTTGGGAAGGTGATGTAAGAGTGGGCGCCGGGTCAAGTGAAGCGTCCAGTGTGTGCTAGAACCAACATGGCGAGCGTGTCCAGGGTGGGCGTCTGAGGGTCCTTTGGCCCCGGGCACACTAGAGTGGAAAGTCCAGAGGTAAAGTAGTAGGGCCTGCCTGAGGCCTGAGGGTTTACTGCGATCATCCACACAGAGATCTGTGACACAGCCGGTGAGGCACACGCCGGCCATCTCGGCACTCTGGGAAGCTGGGCTCACAAACCTGGGCCCAGCCAGGCAGCTTAGTGATTTAGTGAGACCCCATTTCAAAAAATAAATGAATAAATAAATAAAACAAGGGCTGAGGCTGTGCAGAGGGCCTGGGTTCAGTCCCTGGTACCTCAGGAAACAATACTGTGATGGCTGATCTTTGGTTCCGTAGGAACTGCTTGTTCCCTTGTTTCTGGTTCCTGAAGGATCAGCCCCTCTGCCTCCTGTCAGGCCTCCTGAGCCCGAAGTCCCCTCCCCAGGGCTTCCAGGACGCAGGCTGCTGGGCTCACCTTCCAGTTGCAGAAGCCCCTGTGCTGGGTCCCAGGGGCCACAGGGCTGTGGCTCCGAGGCTGCTGCCCGGGACACCTGCTCCCACCCTGACCTTGTTGCACCTGGGAGGGGACCTTCGGTGTCACAGGGGCCAGGCCTGAGCCTGAGGGTGACACCTGCTGCTCATTCCGGAAACAGTGTACGTCACCTCGTGCTGTGTTCCTGTCCCCGAGTCTGGCTCTGGGTTGGGCCTGTAATTCTGCATGAGTACCTTGGGTTCAGTAACAGACCAAAAAACCAGGGCTTTTTGTTCCAGATACCTTTAGGATAAGCTAAGCTATGATATTTGGTGGGTTAGGTGTTTTTAAATATTATTTTCTTTTGAGCTGGGTGTGGTGATTTACACCTGTAATCCCAGCCCTCAGGAGGCTGAGGCAGGAGGGTCTCGGCTACATAGTGAGTTCAGAGCCAGCCTGAACTGCAAAGGGAAACCCTGACTCAAAAAACCAAAAAAAAAAATTATTTTCTTTTGAGACAGTATCTTGCTACCTCCCTTAAGTTGCCCAGCCTGGCTGCTCCATGTTTGAATTATGATGTTTTCACCCTGTGATGGTCTTTGGGAGTAGCTAGTCGTAATTCAGGGGGTACCTGTGCTTTCACCACCGGCAGCAGCTGTTTCGGTGTAACCTTCTGGTCATTTCCTAGGAATAATTCTTCTGCAGCTTGTATTTATAAAATGAGTGTTCTCCCCTCTGCAGTGCTGGGGATTGAACCCGGGTCTGTGCACGCTGAGCGGGTCCTCCAGCCCAAACACATGATGTGAGATTGTACGTGTTAGCATTTTCCCATGTGATCAGCTCTCTTAACCATAATTTCTAATACCTGTAAACACATTTTCTTATCGATTTATGGGTTACATATTAGGTGGTTCTTAGTAGGTGCAAGGGTTTAAGAAAAAATATGTTGTTTTTGAGAGTGCATGCTGTGTTATTTTTTAGAATATTATCATTTTAATTAAGTGATTGACTTAGATTTTAATCCAACGTGGCCCAAGCCTAAATGCTATGTTTTTACAGGTCCGTCTCACCCATGAAATTAAACACAAGAATATTGTAACTTTTCACGAATGGTATGAGACCAGCAACCACCTCTGGCTGGTCGTGGAGCTCTGCACAGGTGAGCATATGTAGGAAGCTGAATGGGAAAATATAGGGCAGTGGAGGCAAGTCTATGGCAGGTGTGCCGCAGCGGGCACACAGCCCTCTGTTGGCCTAGAGCCAAGTTGCCCCAGCTGCCGAGGGTCAGATAACAGCTGTTTATTCTGAACTGAAACCTCAGTATTCAGGTTCAATTGCAGTGTTGGCACTTGACGATAAATAAGTGGGTTTTGGGTTGCAGTTTGGGCACACGGTCTCTAAAAGGTTCGCCATCCCTGATGTAGGGTGTAAACTTTCCTTTTCTATTGCAACTGTAAATAGTATTGATATTATTTACTATATTAACTTGAAAAATCTATTGCTTGATAGGTATTGGGGAAAGGTAAAATAGGATATTTTGTAAAAGGAAGAATTATATAAAATTCAATTTGGAGTGGACTTTAGAATGTTACTAAAACACCTACATAACAGTTTAGGAATATTTTAGTGTGATTAATTTGTTCTAAAAGCTTTTTAGTAAATAAAGCCTCAGGTTAACTAACTGTTATTTAGCTAATACATTTATAAAATGATCTTGTTTCTATGTAAAGGATATGTGGGCTTTATAAAAGCTTGATACGGAAAAGGACAAAGATGAACCAACAAATATCACACCTCACAGTAATCATAGTCCCCGGTCACAGCTGTCGCTTCATGCAGTTTTCTAGGACAGTGCACAGGGAGAAAGGTGACCAAATTCCTAGATAATAGCTGGGCTTGCAGTCTCACATTTTAAAAGCTTAACAGAAAGTAAATGTAATGAGTATCACAATTAGTTTATTGTATTTGTACATTGAGTAATAATGAAAGATCACTAACTTTTGATGCAGTATAATTCTTTGCTGTATTTCATCTGTTGGCATTTAAAATTATAAAGCTAAATTATAAGAGGTTGTTTGTCTCTTGAGTCAGTGGCAGGGATCATGCTTGGGCTCCCCTCGCAGACACACTCAGTGGCCAGGGTCCCCTGGGTGCCTTGCATGGCAGTGTTGTTTCTGATGCTTGACCAGCTGTGATAGCCTAGCGCTCGATCGTGCCTGTGTTAGTACGATTCCTCACCCACTGAAAGAAAATAAACAAAACCCTAAGTACTTTCTCCTTCCATTATGGAAGTTGTGACTGAACTTTCACAAGCCGGCTGAGACTTGGCTGCGGTTATCATCTCTGTCCTTTCAAATTCTCCTGACTGACATGGTAGCCTTGACTTCCCTGTGGCCTTCTCTTCCCTGGGCTGTGCAGGCAGGGCTGGATCGTCGCCTGTGCAGGAGCTGTCGCCTTTGCGAGTGTGACCTGCTGTGCATGTGAGTTAGTGAGCCTGTGCTTGCAGACTGAAATGGAAGTCTATAGTTTTGGGTTAGAACTTAGCACAAATTTCTGCAGCCCGTTACTTCCTGAGGGATCAGGGTAATAATCCTCTCATCCCTGCTCACCTGTTGCCATCTTAGGTGGGGCAGCACTGGCTGGCAAGGGCCCAGACCTGGCCCACTGTGCCTGCACACACATCTTTCTTCTGCCACACTGCTCATGCCAGTGCTCATGTCATCCCGTCTTGACCTCAGACACCCTGTGACATCAGTGGGTTCAAGTGTGTGATTTTTTTTTTTGGTTCCAGGGATCAAACTTGGGACCTTGTGCTTGCGAGGCATCAGGTGTGTGATTTTAATCAACTCTTTGCAGGCGGTTCTCTAGAAACAGTTATTGCCCAAGATGAAAACCTCCCAGAAGATGTGGTGAGAGAATTTGGGGTTGACCTGATTGCTGGCTTGCATCATCTTCACGAACTTGGCATTCTCTTTTGTGACATTTCTCCTGGGAAGGTAATCCATGAATTGTAATTTCTTTAACTACTAATGTTAGAGGTGTTAGTGTGTGTGTGTGTGTGTGTGTGTGTGTGTGTGTGTGTGTGTGTTAATGGCAGTTAAATACTCTGCCACTGAGCTACATCCCCAGACCCAGTCCCTGGGAGCTGTTGGCTTCAGGAGTGTCCTCGCCTCCCTGGGCTTCCTGTGGAAAGTGGTGTTGTGTTTGCATCCAGCCCCTCCTGTGCATCGAGACACCTGTGGCTTTGCAGCGCACCCAGTGCAGTGCACGTGCAGTGCCGTTTATATGGTTGTTATGCTGTGTTGTTAAGGAATAATGAATAAGGAGTACACATTCAGTATAGACAAATATTTTTTCAAATATGTTTGATCCTCAGTTGGCTGAATCTGGAGATGCAGAACCTGAGGACTCAGTGGGGTGATGACTATACGTTTTCCTCTTTCCTGAAACCAGAGGTTTCCCTCTATGCTCTCTAGGATTGGACAGTTGTTGATTCTGTTATTAAAATGTTATTTTTCTTTGATTCTGTTATTAAAATGTTATTTTTCATTTGCTTCCTTTTAGTAGAAGTTGTTAGCCAACCCTCCAGAAGCCTGTAACGGATTTGTAAGAGGAGCAGACAAATGTGTGAACTAAATCGAACTTGTCTCTGAAAATGTTTGTGTCTGAATCTTCTTAGATACTCTTGGAAGGTCCTGGGACATTGAAGTTTAGCAATTTTTGCTTGGCGAAAGCGGAAGGTGAGAATTTGGAAGAGTTCTTCGCTTTGGTGGCAGAAGAAGGAGGAGGCGACAGTGTGGAAAGTGTATTGAACATGAAAAAGAGAGTCCAAGGTGCGTGGGCCTGGGAGCTCGAGGTCACAGCTCTAGTTGTGGGTCGCCCGTGTCCCGGATAGGAGAGGATGCTGGCCTTCTGTTTGTCACCCTGGTATTGAATGGTGACCGGGAAAAGTCTGGGCACAAGTGTGGCTTTGTGCTTGACCTCACAGGGCCCATGGGAGGCTCTCACTGTGGTGTTTGCTGAGAGCGAAGGGTGACACCACCACACGAGTGTCCATGGGAGACGTGAGGGCTGCTGGTCAGCCTGTCTGTGGGCCCCGGAGCTGTGGTTTTTGGGGATGTTTACTCAGTATAGTTTTGTTTCCAGGTGACCAGTGACTGCTCACTTCATGGAGTGAGTGTTCTTCCTGGTAGGTGGAGAGGGAAGAAGAACCCTGGTTTTTGTGGGGTACTGCATCTGCCTAGGTGCCTGAAGAGTATCTCCCTTCCAGTTCTGAAACATGTGGTTTCCACTTATGGCTAAGCCTTGCATGAAGTGTACATGACGCACATGCATGCTACCTACCATGCACTTCCACTGTCTGGGGGGTTTGGGGATATGTGGTGGGGTCGCATCTAGTCCCCTGCCAGAGCCAGTGATGTTGAGAAGTGAGAGGAGGCACTGGGAGGTGGCGATGTGCTGCATTCTTTCCCCCTGCTTTAAAGATACCCTCTGTGTACCTGGTCCATGAGGGGCTGCCAGGACTGGCGCCCTGGGGCTCACTCTTGGTGGGTTTGGAGTTTGAATCATAGATAGATCTTTGCTGTTAAGCCAGTGGGATTTCAGGGTTGTTACTTGTGCTTAACTTGGCCCATTTAATTGTAGTAGTTTAATAAGGGTTCTTTTGACTTTTTTAATTGTTAGTTGAATTTATATTTATTAATACACATGCATAACTCAATGTGCCACACTGTTCACTAAGGTAGATTTGCATAATCTATATTCATAATGTATTGTCCTTTGTACAATATAATCTTCAAATTAGAAAACATTTAAAAAATGTGAAATGTATGTGTCTTCATTACTTTTCTCGTTGCTGAGACGAAATACCTGACACCCACAAATTAAAGGAGGAAAGGTTTATTGTAGCTCAGTTTGTAGAGATTTCAGTCCATAGTTGGCTGGTTCCAGGGCAGGGCGGCATGGCAAAGGGGGATCACAGAGGAGAAACAGTCCACGGCAGGGCAGGCAGGAGGCAGGAAGCAGTGAGCCTTCTGGACTTTTAGCCCATCCAGGCTGAAAGCCTATTGATGGAATGGTGTACCCACACTCAGGATGGGCCTTCCCATTATCACCCAGAACTATGCTAAACCAATCAGAGGGCCTAATCTAGTACCACACACTCTTAATCCCAGTATCATCTACCCTACATCCAGGAGCCACCTCCAAAAAGGCCCATCTATGAGTGCATGAGGCTTCGGGAGGACATTTCATACAAGCCATAACAGCTTGTGAAGTTTTAGTCGTGTACACATTTCCCTCCTGTCTTTGTTCATCTCCTCAGGTCTCTCCCAGTAGCTTTGTAGGGTAGAGTATAGATGCCTAACAATTGTTCTTTGCACTTTGATTTTAGGGCCCCCTGTATACACTGCTCCAGAAATTGTGAGGGGCGCTGACTTCTCCATTTCCACTGACCTGTGGTCATTCGGCTGTCTGCTCTATGAAATGTTTTCAGGTGATTACTTTCTGTTTCAGTGTAAAATCAGAGTGAGCTGACACAAAGAAATAATGTCAAAAAAGTTTATGCTTGTATTTTGCAAATATTTAACCCATAAGATGTCAAAAATCCAGTTTTATTAAATTTTTGTATATACCAATTTTGGCTAATTTGATTGATGTCAAGGTATATGCAGGTTTTCAAGAGCTTTTTGGCAATAGGTAATTTTTCATGATACTCATCTGGAATTTTGAAATGTACCTAATTATTAAAAACTGGGTTATTAATAGCAATTCTTCAAAAGGTGCATCATGACTGAATTATTTGGAGGTGTTGAGTAGCCCATGAAGCCTTGGATCATGGTAGTGGTCATATGTCATAAGTGAGTTTGTGTTTTGGTTAGGATAATAAATTCTGAATCAGAGAAATGTAAAAAAGTAGACAGTATACCTGTGTATATATTAGGCATCAGTAATTAATGACTGCTTTTTCCTGTTAAGTGTGTAATTCTGAAACATCTGTAGCTAAGTTCAGAAATATTGATGATAGCACACAATGTAATTTTGCAAGTTAATGTGATTTCAGGAAAACCTCCATTCTTCTCAGAAAGTGCTTCAGAATTAGTTGAAAAGATTTTATATGAAGATCCTCTGCCACCTGTTCCAAAAGGTGAGATTTCTTATGATAAATTCAGTTAATTTCCATCTTACACTGATTTACATCCTACACTTTACTTGACTCAAAATCTTTTTTAATGATTCGTAACCTCTAAAAGTTATATTTTATGTTTAATCCCAAATTGATAGTTTTTTTGTGCTATTTCTTTTGATACTGAAATTGAAAGCAAAGCACTAATGTTTTCTTTCATTTAACAACATGAATTAGTTTGTGCTTCTGTATCACCAGAAGCCCGGTTTAGAGATTTTAAAAGATCAAGCCCATATATATTTACATTCTTAGTTCACCATTTGCCTAATTTGTGTTCCCAGCTTGGGGTTGCTCTTGTGTGGCGTCTGGGTGGGAGCAGATCAGGCCTGTTGCAGTGCTCTTCTTGAGGCATCCAGCTGCCCTGACATCTTTCATGCTAGAGACAGTTGTCCTATTTTAAAGGTTATGAACCTCAATCACATAAATTATGTTAACGTAATAATCTACCATTAACACTAATTTTCCTTTTTTTTTTCGGGTACCAGGGATTGAACTCTGGACCTTGCGCTTCTGAGTCAGGCATGGTGCCACTGAGCTAAATCCCTGGCCCCCCATTAACACTAATTTTAAAGAAAGAAAAGAAAAACAAATGGCATAAATGTGGTTAACATGTTGCTGTACATTATTAGGGAAGTTATGACCCCTAAATTCTACAAAAATTTATGCTGCCTATATTTTAAAATTTTATTTATTTATTTTTGGTACAGGGACTCAGACTCAGGGCCTCACGCTTGCCAGGCAGGCGCTGTACCGCTGAGCTACATCCCCAGCCCTATGCTGTATTTAAAAGAAAAATTTTTCAGAAGTAATGAGTGAAAGAGATGTGCAGAATATTTTTAGTGTTTTTTTTTTTTTTGGTACCGGGGATTGAACTCTGGACCTTGCGCTTGTGAGAGAGGCAGCGGCAGCACTGAGCTACATCCCCAGCCCTATTTTCAGTGTTTTTTTGAATTACTCATGGTGAAGAAAAACTCGATATTTTGAAAGTCTATTTCTTTTTTTGGGGGGGGGGAGGGGGTACCGGGGATCAAACTCGGGTCCTTGCGCTTGTGCAGCAGGCCGCGAAACCACTGAGCTGAATACCCAGCCCGAAAGTAGTCTGTTTCTTAAAACAAAAGCTAAATTCCTTGCTTGCTGTACTGTATTATTTCCTGCTATAAGTTAAAGGCTGTCACGTAGGGAGGAGAAATTTGAAAATGAAGGTGTGAAGGGCCCATGCTATCATTTCCTGGGGGCTTCCTAGAACTGGCTGCAGGGCCCCTGGTGCCATCTGTGCCCCTGAGCCACCCAGGTCCTGCTGCAGTCTCAGGTCCAGGTCTTCATGGGCTCTCCGCCATAGCCAGGTGAACTGGCCGCGGTACATCTCCATCCGGCTCAAAAACACAAGCGTCGTGAGACTATGGGATTGGTAGCTCTGTACAGCTCTGGTGTTCATTGTGTCCCTGTTAAAAATCTTCAGAGTAAAAGGGAGACACAGGTATTCTCCTCACCGGGTGGGGCATGGTGCACAGCTGTGACCTCAGCACCCTGGGAGGCCGAGGAGGAAGAGCACAGGCTCAAGCCTGCCTTGGCCAACTTAGGTAGACCCTGTCAAAAAGCAGGGGCCTGGGGATGTTGCTCAGTGCAAAGGCCCTGTGTTCCGTTCCCAGTACCACCCAAATAGGAAAGGGGACAGTCGGTCAGGTTTGGATTGCCTGAGAACAGGCGTAATTAATTGTCCGTGACCGGGTAGGCGGTGACCCTTACTGGGGCTGTGTGGGGAGGAGGCGTGCTTGGTTCAGGCTGTGATTTGAGACCCGGTTTTCCGGGTGCCCCTGTGCCCGCACCTCCCTGCTCTGCCCTGCCCGCCGCACACAGGAGTGTGACTGCTGTGGATGGAGCCCAGGTTGCTGCAGCTTCTGTGCGTCTCAGGTTTGATCGCCTTCGTGCTGGCGCAGGATGTTAAAGTTGACGTGTCTTACCACTTTTCTTTTTTCCTCTTGGAAATTCATTTACTTACAGATTCTTCACGTCCTAAAGCCTCTTCAGATTTTATTAATTTGCTTGATGGCTTACTTCAGAAAGATCCTCAGAAAAGGTATGGGCGGTCTTTAGATGCAAACAGGTACTAGAATCTTATCCCTTCACATACTTTTAAAACAGTGTTGTTCTTAATGTGCAGATAGTTGTCCAAGTTACTTTTTTTTATAAAGAAGTCTGACGTTGGGCCGGGGATTTAGCTCAGTGGTTTCACTGCCTGCTGCACAAGCGCAAGGACCCAAGTTCAATCCCCGGTACCGAAAAAAAAAAAAAAAAAAAGGAAGTCTGGCTTTGGATTAAGACTTTATGCTTTTTGTAGTTCTTAATCAGGTGGGGTTTTTTTCATTAAGTTTATTGGTACATTTTAGGTATACAATATAGTTAACATTCATCGTTGGGATCTTGTACCTTTACATGATGTATCTTGGTTCTTATTTTTTCCCCATTCCCCTGCCCTCCCTTCATCCCCTCCACCCAGGCAGGGTTTTTAAAGTTTCACTTTTTATATGTTAAGTGGCTGCTGAGGGCTGGCGTGTGGCTCAGTGACCGAGCCCTGACCTGATATCTGTGAGGCCCTGGGTTTGATCCTCAGTACCTCAGGAAAACTTGCCTAGTAGGCCGACATGTTTTCTTGTAAATCTCAAATCCAAGAAGTGGATTTGTTTGTCTTTATTGTATGTTTCAGGTTAATCGTTTCAGACCATTGAATTAGGAATGGTACTGTCAAGAGAATAATGTAGTGTGGCCTGAGCAGTGTCTTACTGTGATTTATTTTTATGATACCCTATCACAATGGCGGTATTAAGTGACAGGCCAGTAGGCTGGCCAGGAATGTTGTGTGTTACAGTGATGGCAGGAGCTTAGAAACCCTGAAGCTCTAGTTCAGGAAGGCTACCAGTGGTGGGGTCTCCTCGCCCTGGGGTCCAGAGCAGCCCCCACTCTGGCAGTCCCCAGCCTGGGTCCCAGCACCGTGCTCACTGAGGTGTGCCCTGTCCAAGAGGAACTACTCTGGTTCTGGTTCAGCCTATGGGTGGAGGTGAGGGAGATCTAGACAGGTATGTGGGGGGCTCCTGCTCAGGGTGCAGAATGGAGAATAAATTTAGGGTACAAAATACTCCATTCACATTTATTACACACATGAAGAAAACACTGTGGAAGGAGACGCTGACTCTTTTGTAGCTGTAAGGCAGACTTTTCTCAGCTTACATTGAGTGAGTTAGGATTGGTTATCTAGGTGGGTAATCTTAGGTAGATAGGACATACATATAGATACTGTTTACAGTCACTGTATCCTCCGGTTCTGCATCTGTGGATTCCACCAATCGCAGATTGAAAATATATGAAAAATTGAGTGTGTACTAATTTGTGCCATTACTGCCTAAACAGTGCAGTGTAACAGCTGTACGATAGCAGTTCCATTATATTGGGTATTAGAAGTAATGTAGAGATGACTGAAAGTCCATGAGAGGATGTGTGTAGGTTACACCTGTGATCCCAGCACTCTGGGAGGCTGAGGCAGGAGGATTGCAAGTTTAAGCCAGCCTGGGCAACTTAGCAATTTATCAAGACCCTGTCTTACAATAAAAAAGAAAGTGCTGTAGCTCAGGGGATGTAGGTCAGTGCAAAGGCCTGAGTCCAGTATCCAGTACTGTAAAAACAAGCAAACAAAACCCCACACATGTCATTTGATATAGGCCCCGAGCATCCTTGGGTTTGGTCTCTGTCCCCTGAGGTGCAGAGGGAAGACTGATTAGCACGGAGCAGCCTCAGGGGTCCATGCTCATAGCCTTGTATTTTATAATTGTTTGCTTAAAGGTATTTGTCCATAACCAATTAGTTTCTCTCAAGGTATGTTATGGGTATTTTCCCATGTTAGTAAATATATCTGCGTAGTCATTTGGCTACAGAATGTACATGCAACAGTCTAATGAAAACCAGATTCAGTGTTTCTGGATTGACAGTAGTGTACAAACTGCTATGTTAAGTTTCCTTGTATGTTTTTTTCTTCTGGGTTCACGTGGGCAGTGAGCTCTGTATACATTTCTCAAAGTGGACTTGCAGTGGAAGGCTCAGAGCACCAGAGTTGGATGCGTTGGCAGGGCATAAACATAGATGCACTTTGCAGTATTCTAGGGATATGTGCTGATTCACACTTCCAGCACCCATACCTGCCACCCTCACCTACAGTAGGCTTGCGTAATCTTTTATTTATTTGCCATACTCATGGCTGAAAATAAATTTTATACTATCGGCCATTTTTATTTTGCTTTAGGTGAATTCTTTTCTTTCTTTTTGTTTTTGTAGTATGGGGAATTAAACCATGGGCCTTCACACTGGGCTACATCCCAAGGCCCTTTTATTTTGAAGCAAGGTTTTGTAATCCTACCTCGGCCTCCCAGAGTGCTGGATTACAGGCACGCACCACCATACACTTCCTTCAGTGAATTACAAGAGCCCTTTGTGTAAAAGAGATAGCATATGTGGTTCTTTTTCTTTTATATTTGTGTTTTACTTTAGATCAACAATCTATTTCAATAGAGATTTTTTTGGTACTGGGGATCGAACTCACGACCTTGTGCTTGCCAGGCAGGCGCAGCGCCACTGAGCTAAATTCCTGGCCCTCAGCACAGATATTTTGAGTAATTAATCAAACACATTTTTTCTTTAAATGTTGGGTAGGTGTACCCTTCCCTAACCTGTGAGTATCCGAGGGCCATAGTCCATAGGCAAGTAGTAAGACTTGCTTCCCTGAAAGTGAGTCTCACGTTGGATACGGGTGAGTCGTGTCAGCAGGAGTGGACCAGAGGTGATGTTATTCTAACACCTCAGTGAAGTGTGGCTCTATAGTCTGGGAGCTCCAGTTCTGGTTGGTTTCTGAATGAGGTGCTGGAAGTGAAGTTCCCAGACTGAAAGTGTCACACAGCCAGGTCACTGCAATAAAGATTGTCGGAGTGATGGGGTGATAATACGTGACATATTTACATTCAAAATTCCAGTTGTTTGTGGATGCCGTTCATGAACTGCTTGTAAAACCTGAAAAGTTTCCTTTTCACCAGACTCAATGTAATATGAGCCCTGAGACTTGTACTTTTTAGTTTCATTCTGTGCCATCGAAGACTTCTGTATTCTTCTGATTTTGCTGAGAAGTCTGTTACATGCCAAGATAAGAAAAAAGTGGGAAGCACTTCCAAAGGTCCCCTTGGAGGGTGATGTTATGATGCATTATAAAATCTGATGCCGCTTGTCTCTGGATGTGTCCTGGGAACCCTCCGGGGTGAATCAGGAGGATGGAGTTTTAACGGTCTGTTTCTCTGAAGGTTAACCTGGAGCTGCGTGCTGCAGCATCCGTTCTGGAAGGATGCTTTCTCGAGGGAAGCTGAGGAGTCCAGCGCAGAGGATTTCCCCGTCAGGTGTGCCAGCTGTCTTGTGCCTGGGTGTAGTTCTTGCACTCTTGTGCCCATTATCTTCTAATAATGCAGCATCACTGGCCTGAATTTCTGGGCTTTTATGGTCTGTAATACTGGCATTGGTTTAATTAAAGTTTAGCGAGTTCAGTGGTGGTTTCGCTTATCTTCTGAGCAGTTGTCCTTTCCAGCCAGGGATCTGGTCTGCTGGTCCTTCGTCCTCTTCACCAGTACCCCTGCTTCCTGCCCTGTGAGCACCTTCCCATATCATCAGGGAGGTGGCCGTGTGGTGCGTGCTGGCTAACAGGACGTGAGCAGGGTGCAGGTTTCTTCCCTTATAGAAATGTGAGCCAGTGTGTCGTTTGCCACATTTCTGCTTCTCCATGCTGTAATTGGGAAGAAAAATGTGACATGAGTTGCTGTTGGCCTGGGTCTGGAGGGACTGATGACTGGGCTTTCCTGCCCGGCTGCATTTGCAGTGAAGTTAGGAGCTCCTGAGCACCAGGGTTTGGTGGTTGGGTGTCACCCTTGCCTTGCTAAGCTTGTCCTGCCCAGCATTCTTCAGTTTTAATATGAAATCATTGCAGCCCAGGACACTGAGCAAGGCAAACGTGGTTGAACAGGGATGGAGGGAGGGAGAGAGGGAGCGAGAAGAGCCGAGACGGGGTCGGCCTCATGTTCTCGGGGTCACAGCTCTCAGGTCAGAGAACAGGGCTCCTCCTGTTAGCGTTTCAGGCACTGCCCATTAGCTGCTGCTGTGCCCAGCTGGCTGCCGCAGGGTTACCTGGAGGCTGGTGGCAAAGGAGAGATCTATGGCTTCTCTGCCTTGGAACAGAGGCCAGGGCTTCCCTTGGGTTCTTCCGCCTGTACGTGTTGCTGGGAGGCCAGGCCAGCCGGAAGGGGCCGCCAGGGAGCTCCTCGCAGTGGAGCTGGAGTGGTGCCTGACTCCACGCGGCTTCCTCAGTGGCCTGGTGCCTTTCTTTTCCAGGGAAAGGGCTCACAGACTCCGCGCAGTTCCCTGTGTATAAAAGGTGCTTGGCTTTGAAGCTAATGAAGAATGCTGCTTTTCTAACTCTGTGGTTTTGCCAAGTGTCATGTATAATTTAGTTACCCTTTTCAGCCTGTTGTTCTATGAACAACACCAGAGAAAGCTCCAGAGTGAGTCTGGGTGTGCTGGTTCTTTCCTGTTCAGCAGCAGAAGTGCGATGGGAAGTTCTGGACCCCAGGATCCCAACAAGCCCTCGCAGGACCCTTCGAGTGGACGCGCTGTGGGGTCCCGGGCAGCTCAGCGACCCAGCCACACTCTCACGCCAGGTGAGCATCCACAGGTGGCGCTGGGGGCTCTGGCTGCTGAGGGAGGTGTCTTGGCCAGGGCCTGACTTCAGTGTCGGCTTCCTTCTTGAATTTATCTACATGTGTTATGCTCTGCTCTTGATAACTGTGTCCCTTACGGATAATACATTGCTTTCCTGCTTCAGAAAATCCAGCCGAGTTCCGGCCTAAGAGCACTGCTGGGGGTCAGCCGAATGAGTCCCTGTTTCTCCTCAGGTACGTACGGTAAGATCCAGAAACGCCGAAGGCAGCAGTGAGAGGTAAGAGGCAAATCTTTTTAAACCATCTGCTGTCCTGGGGCAAAGCCATTACACAGGGGAAGAGGACAGGGACATTAATGCCACCTGACATACTCACTGTCTTCAAAATTACAGCTGTGTGCTGGCCAGGAGACTCTAGATTCTGCTATGCATTTAAAAAGTTACTTATTTCCCCCTATTTGTAAAGGTTGAATCCTTTTCATTTTGTACTTCAACTTCAAATAAAAAGGAATTGAAAATTTCAGGAGTCCAGTCTCTTTGTTTGGATGGATTTGCTGGAGAAGCATGCTGTGTCTGGTCCCTCCCTCCTTCTTGTCTGGCAGAGCTAGGACCCAATCAAAGACCTCGGGGCTGCTAGGCAGGTGGTCGACCAGCAAGCTACGTCCCTAATCCCTGTGTTTTTCTTCGTAATACATTTCAAATGTGAGGCTTAAAAAGGGTTTATAATCATGAAAAGAATGAAAAAAAACTAGGATGGTATATTAAAGTGACTAGAATAAACATATGAAAAGTTTAATACATAAACACTAAATGGATTTTTCAAAAATTCCTTGGGTTGGGGTGTAGCTCTGTGGTAGAGCATTTGCCTGGCATGTACAAGGTTAGGTCCCCAGCACTGCAAAAGTGAAACAGTCTTACGTAGAAGTAGTTTTATTTCATGAAATGGAGATTATAATGTTAAACTAAAATTTCTCGATCTATTTTACCCATATTTAAATGTAAAATATGTTCAACTTATTTATATAAATTTTAGCCATTCAAAATTGACATTTTAAGAATCTCATATCACTGCTACATAGGTATGTGTTATATTCCATGTAGATATATGTTTAGTGAATTAATGAAGAAGTAAATGAAAGAAAGGTAAAATCCTAATCTTTGAGAAGTTAAGGGGAATAATTAGAATCTTGATTATCTAATGAGAAGGATTTTTTTTTTTTGGTGGTACTGGGGCTTGAGCCATATCCCTAGCCCTTAATTTTTATTTCGAGATAAGGTCTCAAAACCCAGGCTGCTCAGGCTGGGCTTAAACTTGTGGGTTTTTTTGGTTTTTTTTTTGCCTCACCCTCCCAGAGGGCTGGGATTACAGCTGTGCACCACCATACCATGCTGGAAGGATTTTTAAAATGTGAAAACTCAAAATGAGAGACTGAGGAATTGTGTAGATTATAGCAGACATTTATACATCCAAGAGGAATCATTAAAAATAGATGCAGATTATAACTTGTCTAAAATAGGCATGAAGGTAATTTTCCATTTCACGTATATCCTGAAATAAAACTGAATATTTTCCATCCTTTGTATTTTATCTGTTTTATTACGTTAGTCTTGCCTATACCAGGAGACACTTAAAGGTAATACAATCAATGTTTTAAGGTTTCTAGTTAAAAAAGGAAATATATGTCATAGAAGACTGTGAATAAAAGAAATAACAATTTAGTCAGGAAATTATTTCAAAAGCAGTCACAAAAATTATAGTGTTATCTAAACACATAGTAGAGCTTAAACTTTCCTGTATGATGAGATCATATGTAATCACCATATTTTACCATATTCCATAATACGTGTTTTTTTCTAGAAACTAGTAAGCAGAGGATGAAGTTTCTGAAATCTGAATAATGTTATATGGTTATTCCCAGTTCTCGTCCCACCCCAAGGACCAGCACCGCTGTGGGGCTGAGCCCCAGAGAGGACGCTACTCAGAGTTCACCACAGAAGGCCTCTCCCTCAGCCAAGGTGGGCAGTGATGGGGTTGTTTTTTCTGTATAAGATGTAGGACCTCACCCATGCCAGAGGCTGATCAGACCCACGGATACCTGTAGGAGGGAGGACAGGGAATACAGAGAAGCACAATATTCAAGGTTCAAGGGGACTGGGAGGCCTCTAGTGGACAGACTTGATGATTTCCACGGTTGAGCCACTTTTATTAACCAGCAAAAAGCACAGGGAGAGGAGTAGTGTACTTTTCCTGGAACAGTGGGAATGGGCAACAAAGAATCAGGAACAAGTCAGTCCTCACAAAGGGAACAAGTTAGTGGGGATTAAGTCCTTCCCATACTTGGATTCCTGCATTCTTTTTGGATTGTCCTCAGCAGATCCACGCAGCCAGGAAACATGCAACCTTCCACATATTTCCCTATTCCTAAAGCAACTACCATCAGCCTTGGAACTGCGGGGCCTGTAGCCTGGCCCCCACCAATGTATACATATGGCTGGTCCGCAACAGTTCCTCACATAGCTTGGTCACCAACACACCCAAATAATTGCAAGTTGATTTATGAACTGTGTTCATAATTACAAAATGTACAGTAAAGGTATTTTCCCTGATCATCATTGGTTTCCTTGTAAGTACTGTAAGCATGAGATCTCAGTTGTTTCATAGTTTTTTTTTGGTAACAGCTTTCTTGAGATAGAATTGACACGAGATACAATTCACCCATTTAAAGTGTAGGATCAGGGGCCTTTGCTTTATTCAGAGACACATGACCATTCACCCAATCAAGTTAGAGCTCCTTTGTCCTGTGAAGAAACTCTACCCCATTCTTCCTACACTCATTCCAAGCAGCTGTCAGTCTCCTTGCCTGTTCTGGACGGTCATAAAATGGAACCGTACAGTATGTAGTCTTTTGTTACTGGCTTTTAAAATTTAACAAAATGTTTCTAGGATCCATCCAAGTTGTAGCATGTATCAGTACTTTCCCAAATAGTACTGTATTGTATTCTTTGTCTTTTTTCCATTCATTGATCAGCTGATTGACATTTGGGTTGTGCCTACCATGTAGCTGTGCTGAAAATGCTGTTGTGAACATCTGTTGTATGTTTGTGTGAGGCTCGTTTTTACTGCTGTTGGGTGTACACATAGCAGTGTCATTGCTGTGTCAGATTGTACTGACTTGTAACTTTTTGAGGAATTGCAAACCAATTCTCAGCATACCTGCTCCACTTTACATTCTCACCAGTAGTGTGTTCAGGGTTCTAATTTTTAGATACCGTCACCAATGTTTGTTGTTTGTCTTTTTTTGACACATTGTGGTATAAGCATGACTTGTACCACAGGTGGTACAAACAGATCTAGTCACTTTTATCGGTTTTTTTACTAATAAAATTAATAAAAAGCCACCAGATGGGACAGTCGTGGATGTACCACTGGTGACTCAAGCCACCCAGCAGCAAGACATATGAGTTACAGCCCTGTTGTGAACTTGTTAACCTGTAGGTGTAGATTCTACAGATGTGGGTCAGTGGTAGAGCTCTTGCTTAGCATGCACAAGGCCTCGGTTCCATCCCTAGAACTGCACACACCCAAAAAAGTTGTGGCAAAATGTATACAGTGGTGCCTCGGTTCAGGAACTTAATCTGTTTCACGATTCTGGAAAAGATGGCCGCATTTGTGTGCATGTGGGAAAGGTGGCCGTAGTTGTGTTTGTCACCCAATGCAGAGTTCACAAACAAAAAATTTTGCCAAATGCTTCTGTTTGTGAATCACATTGTTCACAAACAAAAGAGTCTGTGAACTGAAGTACAACTGTGTCACATATAATTTACTATTCTAACCATTGCACATCCCTCTGCAGGCGTCGCCACCATCCACCTCCAGAGCTTGCTCAGCATCCCATATTGAAACTCTGTGCCCCGACTCTGTGACCCTCTGACTTCAAGAGTCAGCCCCGTCAGCGCCTGTGCTTGGATTTCATTTGTTCCTTTTTAAGGCTGAGGAAGGCTCTGTTTTATTTACCTGTCCTCTGTTGGTGGACTCTTGGTTGTTACTGCCTTCCGGCTGTTGTGTCGTGGGCGTCAAAGTCCATCTTGTGGTTTGATTTGCACAACGGTGGCTGTGACTTTGAGGATCTTATGGGATTATTGGCTGTCTGTCTGTTGTCTTTAGAGAAATGTCTGTTCAAACCCTGGATGATAAATTCTTTTTTTTTGGTACTGGGGATCGAACTCAGGACCTTGTGCTTTCGAGGCTGGCGCGGAATCACTGAGCTCAATCCCCGGCCCTGTATGATGAATTCTTTATCTTGTTACTGAGTCATAGGAATTTTTTTTTTTTTTTTTGGTACCAGGGATTGAACTTGGGACCTTGTGTTTTTGAGGCAGGTGGCGAGTGGTGGGAAATCTTACCTGGTCTCAAGAGGTGATCTGTGAACATCTCCTTTTCTGTGGCCGTCTTTTTACTTTCTCCCTTCTTCTTCTTTGATGGAGCTGGGCATGGGCCTTGGCTGCGGCCTCATGTGAGCAAGGCAAGTGCCGTGACCTGAGAAGCCACCCCAGCTCCTTGGCCTCGTCTTCCGTGATGGCCTTGTGAAGCGCAAGGTTTTCGTTTTGATGTAGTCCAGGTTATTATTTTTTTTGAGTGTTTGTACCTGTGCTTCGGGTGTCACATGTAAGAAGCCACTGCCTCTCCAAGGTCACAGGGCTTCTACGTGTGCTTCCCTGCAGCGGTTCTGTAGCTTCCACTCTTACATTCATCTTGGGTCCGTTTGAGTTAGGGTTTTTCTGCGGCATGAAGCGGGGTCAGCTTCCTTGTTTCATGTGTGGGTCTTCACCTTTGCAGTGCTGCTGTGGGAGGATTGCTCTTTCCCCGTGGCATTGGCTCGCCTCCCTGGTGGAAAATCGGCTGGTGGTAAATGTGTGGTCTCTTCCAGGCTCAGTTCTGCTGGTGCACCTCTCTCTCCTTGTGGCACTCCTGTTCTGCCTTAGTTACTGTAGCTCTTGTAAAGCTTTATCAACTCTGGGGCCGGGGATTTAGCTCAGTGGTTCCACCGCCTGCCTCATAAGTGCAGGGTCCCAAGTTTGATCCCCAGTACCAAAAAAAAAAAAAGCTTTAGTAACTTTGAAATTTCGCAGTATGATTCCTCCAACTTTGTTCTTTTTAAAGGTTGTTTTGGCTCTTCTAGGTTCCTTGCATTTTTGTATGAATTTTAGGATCAACTTGTCATTTTCGTCAAAGAACCTGGTTGGGCCATAATGTTGTGTGCATTGTATCCATAGACCATAGGGAGTATTGCCATCTTAACAACATTAAGTTTTCTTTCATGAACATTGGGTGTCTCTGTTTATTTATATCTTCTTTAATTTCTTTCAGTCATAGTTGTCTTAAATGCAAAATTTTTTTTTTTTTTTTGGTACCAGGGATCGAACTTGGGTCCTTGTGGTTGCAAGGCAGGTGGCAGAACCACTGAGCTAAATCCCCAGCCCACAGAAATATTTTTGATTAATGTTTTTCCAAGTTATTTTTATTGTACTTACTGTTTGATAAATATAATTACATTTTTTTTTGTACCGGGGATGGAACTCGGACTCTTGTGCTTGCGAGGCAGGTGGCGGCACCACTGAGCTAAATCCCCACCCCCAAAAATTGTAATTATAAGGGCTGGGGATTTAGCTCAGTGGTGCCGCCGTCTGCCCTGCAAGCGTAAGGACCCAAGTTCGATCCCAGTACCAAAAAAAAATAAATAAATAATAATTACAATTTTTAATGTAATGTGACATATATTTGGGCCATTTGAAATTTCTGCATGGAACTTTAGTGTAAATGGGTTATAATAAAAATTTCTCGCTAATGATGTTTTGGTTGTATGTGAAATAGAAAATCAGTGTAAGAAACATTCTGAAATGCAGTAGATGTTGAAGTCATTCTAGCAGATGGTTATTGTAGAGCTGAGTAAGTAGAAATTTCATTGAAAATGCTCGAACAATAATTATATAAATAGTTTATGTTGTATAACTTTTTTTTTGGTACTGGGGATGAACTCGGGACCTTGAGCTTGTGCAGCAGGCGGCGAAACCACTAAGCTAAATCCCCGGCCCTTATGTTGTATAACTTTTAAATGGTACTTACATTGGGTTAAAAATTACTTGAAGTTTAACTTTTCCCATTACTAAGACAAAATACACAACACCTTAAGTTAAAAAAGGAAAGGTTTATTTTGGCTCACAGTTTGTAGAGGTTTCGGTCATAATTGGCTGGCTCCAAGGCAGGTTGGCATGGCAGAGGGGCATCGCAGAGGGGAGAAACAGTTCATAGAGTGGAAGGCAGGAGGCAGCAAAAGCAGCAAGCAATAGAAGCATCCTTCTTTCTGTCCCTTGAATTCTGTCCAGGCCACACATCCTTAAGACGGGTAGCACTCACACCCAGGGTGGGCCTTCCCATTATCCACACCCAGAACTATGCCAGACTCATTTACTAGTCACACACCCTGTACCCCAGCATCACACACTCTAGATCCAGCTGCCTCTGAAAAGCCCCACCCGTGACCCCATGAGGCTTTGGGGAACAGCTAGACACAGCCGTAACATTATCCAAAGCAAAAACTGATTATATTTTGATATTTGTACTTTTGGTTTGATACATAGTGTTTTGTTTATTTTCAAACAAAGGAACAGCTTTTAATTTTTTTCGTATGATTTTGATCTCATTGTGATTATTGATCACATAGCTTGGCTTATGTCAAGCATCCTTTATCCCTAAAGCTGGGAGGACTAGAAAACACATCTCTGTAATACTCACATTCCTGGGTATTATATCTATTTATCTTTTGCTATTGTGAGTGGGATATTTATTATTTGTGCATTTGATAATTTATTTGTGCATTTGTTCAGTTTGCCAGTAGGAAAATTTTACATAGAAATTTTGTATTGGCACCCCTTTCTAATTCTTGTATTGTTTCTAATAATTCTTCAGCTGATGAATTTTGGTTTTCTGGCTAAGTTGTAGCACCTGCATATAAAGGTAGTTTGGGTACCTCTCTTTCAGATATCAACCTTACTCTGCTCTGTGGACTGATCTAACTCCCTTCCATGTTAATGGCAGAAGTGTCCACCCTTAGCTGTGCTGGTCACTTCCTCCTGCTGCCCAGGCCCGCAGGACCCATCTCCATGAGGCAGCTGCTCCCCTCTCCAGGCTCCCGCTTGCCTGTTGTCTGCAGAAGCCAGTACAGCTCTCCTCTCTTGAGCAGTGCCGGGCATTGTTTCAAATGCTATGCACTTACTCTTCAAATCTTGGAAGGCTTTTGCTTTTAATCTTTATTACATTGAAGAAAAACAGGCTTTAAATTTCTTAAGGTCACATAATAAGTGGCCATGTCTGTCTGGTGGCCTTTCTGTCTCGAAAGTCCATGTTCTTAAACTTAAATTTTTTTTTACGGCATCCTTCCCTATTTCTTCTTTGTGCATTTTTGTAGATCTTTTGTCTCATTTGATATCTAGGATTTTTATTAGCTAATTCTTCTGTTCCTTTATCCATGTCCCTTTGATTACTTTTCCTCATTGTTTTCTTCACTGATTTTTCTTTTATTAAGGTCATTAGCCCTTATTTAAATTTGAATTTATAACGTGTAGGTCCTCTTTTTTTTTCCAATGTGAAATACTTAGAGCACTAGAAATAAAAATTGTAGTTAACTAGAGCACACACACACAAACACAAAATCTCAAAGGGTTAATTGATGGTGAACATCTGGTTATCTACTGTCCTTATGTATTGACTCTAGGTTTAATAAATGCGTTGGTACTCAGGCCCAAACATTTTTATTTTATAATTTTAAGTTCATATTGAATATTTGCTAGGGCAGAAATAATTGGTGAGCATTTTGTGGATGAAAGATACAAGCCCGGAGGGTGATCGTAATACCCACTGGCCACAGCACAGTTGAGAGTGTCAGGGAATGGGAGGTCTGTTTTCTAGTCCTCTTGGCCTCCGTGGTAAGGGTGCCTGACATGAGTCAAGCAAGTCGGTTACTTGCCCTGAGCTGTGCTTTTCCACCTGTGAAATGAGAATAATGACAGCAGCGTTCTGGATCTTTGTGAGGATTGCTCGAGGCAGTGACAGCATTTTGAATAGCAGTGAAAACACACTGACACGACTGGCCTTTCATGGTGTGTCCTCCTCAGCATCTTCTTACCTCTGTCTTTTGAAACAGAAGCAAAGTATAATCTGTGTTCCTATTTTAGATCACAAGTGTGCACCTGAGCCGGGAAGCACTGGAGTCACAGATGAGAGCTCTCATCTACATGGACTCAGACCTGGTTGTCACCCCAGTCATCGACAACCCGAAGGTGTGGAGGCATGGGGACCACGGGGCGGGGGCGGCTGCGTCTCAGACCTCATGGGAGGGTGGAGTCTACCTGCATGCTATTTTCATGCAGGACATTCTTCACCTTGCTTTCTCTCCTGCTCCCTGCTTTGTCTACTTCTGTTCCATTCACTCCTCGGATCTGCCCTCCAGCCTCCCTTCCTCCCTTCCATCGCACTGCTGGTGAGTTTGCCCCCTGCTCCCTCTGTGACAGCTCAGTGCTCTATCCTTCCTGCGCTCCAGTGTGCTGCAGAGGCTGCTGCCTTCCAGATTACAGTCCCCAGCTCTCAGTCCCTTCTGGGTTCTGGTCATGATGCATGAAGGCAGGCGGCAGGGAGCTGGGTAGGGGTCACCCAGAGACCCTGCTGTCTCAGGGGTGTCAGGACTGCAGGCAAATGATGAGGGGTGCAGAGGGAGTGAGGGGTTGCAGTTCACGATGTCCTTTAAACCCAGTCTGAGCTTGGTGCTTCATATCTTTAGGGATGTGGTTCATATGTTACTAAAGGATGATGAGTATTTATTTACCTTTTGATTTCCACCAACCAACACACTCACACTCTACCAACTGTTCTGATTTTAATTTTCCTGTTTTTTTTTTTTTTTGTGGTACTAGGGATCAAACTCAGGACCTTGTGTTTGCAAGGCAGGTGTGATACCGCTGAGCTAAATCCCCGGCCCTCCAGTTTCCTTTTTTGAAAATGTTTTTTCATAATAATTCATGACTGGTTCCTTGTATCTCATTGAGGAACATTATTTTGTTTTGGGCTCAATGGATTCTTGGGTACATGTTTATTTCTTAGCATTTCATAAAGATTATTTAGCTTTTTTTATAATGGAGCTAATTCTTTTTATGAATTCAGATATCTGGCAGGGTAACTATATTATGCTAAATTCGATGGATCATAGGTCTCTTAGTAATTTTCTTTTTGCTGAAATACAATACCTGACACTTAAAGGAGGAAAGGGTCATTTTAGCTCATGTTTTAGTCTGTGGTTGGCTGGGTCCAAAGAAGAAATACCGTAGTGGCATGGCAAGGAAAAGCTGCTCACATCATGGAAGCCAGGAGACAGAGATCGAAGGGAGAAGCACCCTACCAGTCACCGGCAGTGACCCACTGCTTCCCACCAGACCTCACCTCACATTGAACTATAGCACCCCATGAGTCAGTCATTTTCAAAAGTCCTGCTTATGATCGCATGAGGCTCTTGGGGGACATCTAGATATGATCCTTAACATTCTACCTTGGCTCTCAAAAGGCTCATGTGCATCTCTTTATGCAAAAGGCACGTAGTCCATCCCTAAGAGTTGCCAGAGTCCTAACAGTTCCAGCCTTGCTGAAAAGTCCAAGTCCCAAGTCTCCTCTGAGACCTAAGGCAAACTCGTAGCTGTGACCTCCAGTAAAAATCAAAAAGAAAATTAAACACTACCTACATACAGTGGTACAGGACAAACATTTTTATTCCAAAAGGGAGAAATATTGGTATGGAAAGAATGGACCAAAGCAAGACTGAAATCCAGGAGGGCAAACATTAAATTCTGTACCTCTGTGTTTAGCACCCCAGGCAAGTTGTGGTGAGATGTGAAATCCAAATGGCTTGGGCAGCTGTCACGGCTTCTCTTTTGCTCACTGCCCACTGGTTCCCTCAGCTGATGTTCTGTGTCCCTGGCTTCTCCAACTTCCTGGGGTTTCTACTGCACTCTTGGCGTTACTCTCACAGCTTCCCACACTGCCCCCTGGGGCCACACTGCCTGGCCTCTTTCCCTCCTGAAATCTGGGTGGAAGCCTTCCTGACCCCGCAACTCTTGCATTCTGTATGTGCCTAAAACCAGCACCACATGGATGATGCCAAGCTGTGATGCAAATGAGTAGTAGCCAGGCTGCCTTGAATCATGGCTGAAGAGGCCTCTTGAGTTCCTGGATGGCTGAGCATTGTGAACTGAATCCTGAGAAACACCCTAGGAAGCCATTCTTGAACTCAGGTGCCTGGAGCTCTCAGCAAAAGTTTTTATTTTTGTGCCTCTTAGTTTGGCAAGAGTGGGGCCTTGCTGACTCTTCACATGCCCTCAAGGCATCTTTTCTGTTATCCTGATCGAAAGTACTTGGTTTTTTTTTTTTTTTCTGGTACCAGGAATTGAACTCAGGACCTTGTGCTTGCAAGGAGACGCAGTGCCACTGAGCTACATCCCCAGCCCACTTGGCTTTTTTATTTTTTTGTACCAGGGATCGAACTCAGGACCTTGCGCTTATGAGGCAGGTGGTGGCACCACTGAGCTAAATCCCCAGCCCACTTGGTTTCTTTTTAATGCGAATCTTTTTTTTTTTTTTGGTACTGAGGATTGAACTTGGGTCCTTGCGCTTGCGCAGCAGGCTGCGAAACCACTGAGCTAAATCCCCGGCCCATAATGAGAATCTTTTAAGCAACCAAGCTCTCTTCTGTTCCACCTTTATTTATTTTTATTTTTGGTGTTGGAGGTCCAACTCGGTCCTTGTGTTTGTGGGGCAGGTGGTGGAACCACTGAGCTAAATCCCTGGCCCTGCTCCACCTTTAGAGCCCATTTCTGTCTAGCAAAAACTATAAATGGTCCATTTGCTCCTGTATCTCAGTGTAAATCTGACTAAAAGCAGTGAGAGTGCCTGTGTTACAGCCTGAATGTTTAGCTGCCTTGAAATTTTCTCTGCCAGATTAATTGGTCCACTGTCCTAAATCTCCACCCCTGCAAGGTCTCAGGACATGAGTAGAGTGTAAACAAATTTTCTGCATAATTCATAGGACCTGGCTTCCAACTGCCAGTAGAGTTCTTGTTCCCAACTGAAATCTCTTGAGTCTGGTCTTTACCATCTGCATTTCTGTCGGCATTCTGGTCTGAACTTTGATTGGAATCTCCTATCAAGCTCAGCTTACAGCATTCTAGGGCTTTTCTAGTCAGCAGTGACCCCACTTCATGGAGCTAAAATCTGTCTTAGTCACTATCTTGTCTCTGGGACACAATACCAAACACCCACAACTTAGAGGAGGGCAGGTTTATTTTGGTTTATTTTTTCTCATGTTTCAGTCCATGGTTGGCTGGCTTCAAAGAAGGAATGGCAAAGGAGAGGGACATGGTGGGGGAAAGGATGCTTAGGTGCTGGCAGTCAGGAAGCAGAGAGAGGGAAGGAGGAACTGGGGAAGGAGATGCCCCTACCAGGTCATGACCCCCAGCCAGACCCCATCTCCTGACATCACATTTAGCGCCTCTGTGATTCACTCACCTCCCACAAGCCCTGCCTCTGATGCGTGAGGCTTTGCAGGGACATCTAGATATAAACCATGATAATGATATTTTTCATTCTTTATAGCTGAATAATACTCCCTTATGTGTGTGTACCAGTATAACATACTGTCTTTATCCGTTCATCTATTGACAAGCATCTAGGCTGTTTCCAGAGCTCACCTGTTGTGAATTGTGCTGCTGTAAACAGTAGAAAGCTTTTACACAGCAAAGGAAACAGTTGGCAGAATGAAAAGACAACTCACAGAATGGGCAGAAAATTTTACCAGCTACACTTTTTTTTTTCTTCCGTACCAGGGATTGAACTCAGGACCTTCTGCTTGCGAGGCAGGCGCAGCACCACTGAGCTACATCCCTGGCCCCCAGCTACTCTTTTGATAGAGGACTAATATCTAGAACACCCAAAGAACTCAATGGAAATTATTTTCAAAAACACTTTGTCTCTGTTTAAATAGTTTAATCTGAAACAGCACTGTTGAATTCTTTTTTCTTTTTTGATGACAGCATTCTTTTTTGCAGTGTGATTCAGGGGACATTTTTGCAGACAAATGTCCATCTCAAAACGTAACTCAAAATTTTATTTTATTTTTGAACCACAGATAATGAAGCAACCGCCAATTAAATTTGATCCAAAAATATTGCAGCTACCAGCACGTTCAGGTAGGACCATAAACGGATTGTTCAACATGCAACTCTGTATGTGGATACAAACACAAAGTTTATTTGCAAATGGAAGATTTGTATGGGCTATTGAAGTCTGTTTCCTCGCCCCTTGGTTGTGCTCTTGGGGCAGTGCTATGTAAATTACAAGCCCTGGTAACCTACCTTGGCAGCCGATCCTGATGCCCTGTGGCCTGTGGGTGGGGACGTTTTGGGGAGCAGGGCGAGCGTTGCATGAGCGCCCTTCCCCTGGGGCCGCTGGGTTTCTGCAGGGATGGTGGTGGTGTGGGTGCTCAGGGCAGGCAGTTGAGTGCCCCCGGGCTGGGCAGCTCACTCTTGCGGGGCTTGGGTTTGGTAGAAAGAGCTGTCTGTGGCCACACCACCCTAAACATGCCCGACCCTGTCTGAGTAGAAACAGTGAAAGGGTGATCGCATGTCATTGCAGCTAACGGGAGCCTTTCTGCGGTGAGCATCAGCACTTTTGCACATCTTGTGTCAACTTTTTCAGCTGGACAAGTTATATTTTAATGTTAAGGTAGATTCAGGGAAAATTCTTTACTGTGGCTAGAGAAGAATCTTTGATTTAAAGTAAATTCATTGTAAAATCTACTCAAATTTAAATGAACCAACTAATGGCTTATATAAGTCAACATAATTACTGATAAAAAACCAAAAGAAACTACATAGACATTTTCAAAAGGCCAAAGTGAAGCAAAATGTTATTATGTTTTTGGTACTGGGGATCGAACTCAGGACTTTGTGCTTGAGAGGCAGGCGTGGTGCCATTGAGCTACATCCCTGACCCAAAGCAAAAAATTAATAGTGCATTCAGTGTCAAGAAGTATTGATCATGGAAACCCAGAGGATTATTATGGAGGAATTATAGTCTTTCATTTTTTTCCCTTTTGAGTTGTTTAGGGAGTTATTTTTACAATTTTTTTTTTTTTGTTTTCTTTAAATAGTTTTGTTTAATTTTGCACTTATAGTGGAGGTTGTAGGACAATTCTCCTTTAGTTGTGTGCTTTTTTTTTTTCCTTGAGTAGAGTTTTCAATTGAATTAATTAAGAAGTATTCCTGGATAGATGGAGATGAAGAATGTAGAAGGACAATTAAATGTATTATCTTTAGAGTGATTATTTATTGAGAGTACTGGGGATCGAACCCAGACCTTCGCACTCAGCTACATTCCAGGCCTTAAAAATTTTTTTTAATTTTAGGATCAGGTCTCACTAAGTTACTAAGTTGCCCAGGTTGGCTTGAGGTTGCAATCCCCCTGCCTCAGCCTCCCAGAATACTGGGATTACAGATGTGCACTATCACGCCTGGGTAATTTTGACAGTGGTAGTGTTAGAGGCTTCTTTGTCCTCATTGAACCTCTGAGAATTCTACATTTGATTTCTCACATGATGTTTCAGCAATCCTCTTTTCTCATCATACACATTTTCACTACTTTGTTCCCTGTGCAGTTGATAAGCTATTATTTCTGAAGGACCAAGATTGGAACGACTTTTTGCAGCAAGTGTGCTCGCAGATCGACTCCACTGAGAAGAGCACGGGGGCCTCCCGAGCCAAGCTGAATCTCCTCTGCTATTTGTGCGTGGTGGCCGCTCACAAGGAGGTCGCCCCCAGACTCCTCCATTCTCCTCTGGCAAGTGTTGCTGCTTCCACAGTCCTTGCAGCAGGCCTCATACCTCTCATGTTTCTCTGGAGGTTGAAACAAGGGTTAAAATAGTGAAAAATGATTTATCTACTACAGGTTCATGGAAATTATCCTCGGTTTAGTGCTTATGTCTAAAAGCAGTTGGGTAGAATGGTGATTCCAAGTTTTTCTTTTGTAATATTTTATTTTATGTTAATTTTTAATTAGCGTAGCATAGTTTTCATCATGAAATCACAGGATAGACCTTCTCACACTGTCGTGAGCTGCCTGTGTGGAGTAGGGGCTCCTTTACGGTGTCCACCCGGTAAATGACCTCCAAGGTTTCTGCTGCGACATTGAAGGGAGCTGTCACGTCCCTAAGACTTCTGTTTCCTGCTCCTCCTGGGAATGTTCTTGGATTGTCTTCATTTACTGGTAAACCCACTGGGATCAGGCAGTGCTTTTGAAGTTCTCTTCAGCAAAGAATTACAGTGCTTTGGAAGTGTTTCCCATAGGGCAGTCATTTGGGAACTGGCAGGAAGAAGCGTAAGTTCATTTTGCTTTCAAGGTGGTATTAAGGTTACTTGTTTGGTAGTTGGTGTCTGTTGCATGGGTTGGACATTTAAGGTATGTAAAGTGGTAGAAGAAACTAAAAGTATTCTTTGTTTTTCATCTGCTCAGTACTTTTTGCATTTTGTAAATTATTTTCTTGGTGCATAATTCACGTTTTTGTTGCATAAAGATCTGATTTGTTACCTTGGAATCACTTTCTGTGTTGTTTCATGAGTTAAATGTGGATTTTTACTTTTTATTCTAGTTCCAGTTGCTAATCCAGCATTTGCGAATAGCTCCAAACTGGGATATGTAAGTAACATTTATATTTAAAAATATTCTTTAGGATTTTACGAAGTTACTACAGCTCACACACTCATAAGCAGAGTACTAAATGGTTATTATAAATTACTCTGAAGTAAAGATGACTCTGATTCATAGACAATTTCTGGAGGCATTCTAATTATAAATTTAAAAAGAAGATTTAAAAATAGCCATTATCCTAATATTATAAATACAATTCTGGGATTGTCTAAGCTACTTCACTGACTGCTGTTGAGTGTTTATTATGCACCAGATCCCTGTGTTTTAATTTACACGCCTAGAATTTTCTTTTGGGCACCTGTAGCTTCCCTTCCTGAGGCACACAGCTTCCCAGGACGTTCTCTGTAATCTTGCGGGATTGTAACCTATAGAATCCAAGGAGGAAGGATGCTAGCTCTCTGTGGAAGCAGCAGCCTTGGTGAGAAGTGCAGTAGTAGGTCAGGTGTTGGAAGACTGGGCTCTGGCTGCCAGTGAGATGTGGCCAAATGGTTAAACCTTCCTCTGGGTCTCCGCTTCCTAGGGAGTCTGTGTGGGACAAGGAAATAGTTTAGTTTAGGTCTGAGACAGATCTGTCTGTTGGGTTAACTGCTTTAGTTCCTGAGCCTCCCCTGTAAAATGGGGACAGTGTAACAACTTCATAGGTTTTGGTGCTAATTAAACTGTGAGTGAGATAAATATATGACATACTTTGTACAGGGTCTGGTTTGTCTGGTGGTGGGTGGTTAGTGTATACTGGGGGTGCAGCAAGCTCACTTAGCTCATGTGATTATTAGAAATACATGGAGAAACGGGGGTGAGGAGATGTTGTGAAGTGTTGGGTAGAGAATGATAGTAATTATTCTTCGTGCTGGCAAAAGACTGGAGACCACAGGAGTTTGCACAGAGCTCTTTTGGGGTATTACTCTGATGCGTCTTCTAATGCCACCCTCCCAAGGCAAAGTACGGCATTACCAAATAGGGTTTAAGGGAATGGTTGAGTAGTTGGTACTTTGAGAAGGTTTGCAGTGCGCTCGTTAAAAAGAAACCAGGGACATTCTTACTGTTTAAACACAGTTCTTGAAAACATACCTTCAAATGGGTGCCCTGCTGACACCAAGATGCATGCTCTTACTCATTTCCAAGCGCTGTTTTAAAACTGTTTTGTTTCATTTTTAAAACTCAAGTTTAAACATTAAACAGTTTTAAATGGAGGAAAATGGCAAATAGTAAGGTAGATGACAAGTCTTCTACTAGGAGCTTCTTTTCCTCTTTCAGATGGTGCTGCTTCCGTGTTTTCCAGTTTTGATCAGTTTTCCAAGTTCATTCGGCATATAGAAATACAATCACATGATATAGTTTCTAAGTTCTTCCCCTCGTCTATATTAATTATTATGTCATTAATTTGAGTTAGGTAGTGTTTTGAAGTATGTTGTGATCATTTTTATGCTGTGCTGTTTTTTGGGTAGCATTCTGTGTTGGGAACTTGCTATTTGTGTTTCCCCATGAGCAGGAGGTTGTGCCCCCGGCTGTGCACGTGGCACACAGCCAGTCTACCTCACGCCTTGCGTCTCACGCTCCTTAGTGCCCACCCCTTCTCAGAGCTGTGTCCTCTCCCTTCACAGACGGGCCAAGGTGGCGCGGGTGATCGGTCTCCTGGCCTCGAACACGAGTGAGCTCCAGGAAAACACACCTGTTATCGAGGTAATGTCTTTTGTTACTGCCCTGTTGTAAATGCTATAGAGATTGTTTTTGATTTTATAATTCGGAACATACAGCTTTCCCCAGCCTTCCTGTGATTTCTCTTTGTGGCCCTGTGGCCCTGACAGGATGGTGACACTGGCCATTGGAGGGTTCACTGGCACAGCTCAGCGATGCACTAGGCTGTTGTGAAAACCATGTGGCAGAGGCACAGCCTCGGGAAAGCAGAGCCGTAATCACACCTTTCACCTGGAGTTTAGTGTTCCTAAGCTCACCAGCTGCCAGTCATTTCTTTTTCTTTCTTTTTTAGTACTGGGAATCGAACTCGGAACCTTGTGCTTTCGAGGCAGGCGCTGGAACCACTGAGCTAAATCCCTGGCCCATGCCAGTCATTTCTTGACACCTGATCCTGGCATCTGATGGTCACGTGCACACCAAAGATACTTTCTAGTATTGTCATTCCTTTGAAGTACTGATATGGAAAGCTTTTCTTATTTAGTTAGTGGGTAACCCCAGGCCCTGGCAGCAAGCACTACCGCTCTGCAGCCTACATGAGTGTCCTTGACTGTTGAATGCTTCTTCCCATTAATGTTGGTTATGCTTAATTGGTAATGAGTTTTTATCCCTTGGGCTAGAAAAGGCCCAAGAATCAAAAATAGATGAAAACACCAAGGCTTTTGTGGGCAGGGCGACGAGGGGCGTGAGGTAGCGAGGCCTGGACGGCATGGCGAGGACTGGGGACTCATTCAGAACGAGGTGGGAGCCTGGGGGTGTCACGGGCAGAGGACCCTTCATGAGGCTTCTGTTTGAGAAGGTCACGCTTCTGTTAGAGGTGGCTCTGGGAGACCACGCTGATCTGAATCGGATTGTTGTCACCCCCCCCCCCCACACTTTACCTACACACATACAAAATGCACAGTGCTACACATGTACACATGTATGTAAATACATAGGTACACACATACACACACATACATACATTTATTTCCTGTTGTGTTTTTAAGAGTGCAGACATTCGCTAGTTGCTATGATAATATTTTAAAGCAGACTTTCATAGCCAAGACGCCCAGCCAGAATGAATTTTAATGTTCAGCGTTGAAAACACTGAGTCACCACAGAAATGCAAATGAGACCCGAACTGCAGTGAGAGCCTGGCAGTGCTCTGTGCTGGGGAAGGCCCTGGGTACCAGGATGTGGCTGCTGCCAGTGGGGACGCATGCGGGCACAGGTGTCCTGCACAGCTGCTTGGGGGTCTCCGAGGCTGTGCCAGGCACCTTATGCCCTGTGCCTGGTGTGCGCAGTGGCGGTTACAGAACGATGGAGTCCTAAGCAGCGGCAGGGCTGGGCTGGGCAGCAGGCCTGGGGACCTCGTGTCCAGGCCCACTGTTTTCACCTCAGTGGGCCACTTCCTGGGAGGACTGATGTGCTTAGAAGGGTCAGGGCTGGGATGGTCTCGGGTTGGGGTCAGCTCCCCCTCCGGCTGACACTGTGGGGAGAGGTGTGTGCAGGTGGGTGTCGTGGAGGGGTCTGGAGACTTGGGGTGCCTGCAGCACAGCCTAGGGAAGACGGGGCAGACTGGGAACTGCCTGGGGCTGCCCTCATCCCCCCTGTCAGGGACTCACAAAGGTCTGGACAGTGGGCGTTGCAGCAGCCTGGGTCCGTCACTCACCCCACTGACACGCCCACGTCACCCCTGCCCCATGGCCCCATACTCCCGGCGCTGTGAGCACCACCAGGGCGACTGGGCAGCAGCCTGGACTGCACTGTGGCTGTGCCCTCGGCTGCCCTCTCGGCCACGCTGCCTCTGGAGACCAGGTGTGTGGTGTGCTCATTGTCCCCTTTCCTAACCCTCCTGTTTCTGTCTGTGAGAGATGGTGGGTGCCCGTTCCCGAGGCGCCTGTGTCCTCCATTTCTGCCGGGGATTTGTTCATGCTTGGTTAACTGGAAATGGAAACCTTGGGGAAGATCACTCCCAGTCCATCGAAAGGCACTAGTGTATATTTAGCCATCTGGTGAACAGTTTTGAATTAGTGAGCTAAACTTGCTGGGTAATGGAGGTTGCAGAAGTTGAAGTTGGGCCAGGTGCCCCTTGGCAATGCTGCTGTTTGTTTGTTTGTTTGCTTTGTGTTTGCTCTGCTGCGGATGGAACCCCGGGCCGCTCACTGAGCACAGCCCTGCCTTGGACCTCCCATGTCTCTGCACCTTGTAGTTGTTTTGAGCAGTTGGCCGCGACAGTTTCAACTACCACTAGAGGTCACCCAAGCACTGGGAAAAGCCAAGAAGTTTCACAATCTGTCCTTCAACTTCTGCCTTTGCTGTGGAGGCTTAGCAGGGATATGGCGGTGTTTTATCTCTTTCTTGTTTCTAGAGGTTTCTGCTAACACACTGGCACTAGCCGTTGGTGATTGCCAGTCACCATTTGAGGTTAATGAAGTTAGTGAAAGCCAGGACTCCTCTCTGGACAAACAGACTCAGCACCTTGCGCCTGACTGCAGGCGCCATGGAAGCCACGGAGCCCACCAGCCACTCACGTTCTGAGCTCCTGAGGCTAGGATTGTGTAAGGCTCGAAGCTGGGTGTTCATAGATGATTTATTTGTAAATTATTAACAAACTTCCAGGTGTGAGATGAGTCTTAATTTCTCTTAATAGTCTCACTGCCAGTGGGTAATAAAAATTGTTGTTGCAGAGCCCGTAAGGTATGGAAGAGAAGTTAAAAGTACAGAATCTCACTTTTCACTCCCACTGGTGCTGAGCCAGCGAGCTGAGGTGTATTTCAGGTCCTCAGCCAGTGCTGAAGGCTCAGGAAGGGTTACAGGAGTAGGAAACTGTGGTGGTGTAATTTGTTAAAGGGACAAGCAGAAGAGAAAAATAATCTGTCTTGCTACCCTTATGATGTGGTTTAAGTTTATCTCTTCTGGTTATAAAAAGAACTGGTCGTGATGTCTTCTGGATTGAGAAGCATTGCCTCCTTTCCTTCCTAATCACTTGCATCAACGGACATCTGTGTGTTAACAGTACCATCCATCTCGGGAGCTGGTGCACATGCATGTCATGTCGCGATCATTTCACCCCCTCTCCCACTGCTCCCCTTCTTCTTTTCCCCAGCACTAGAGAGTGAGCCCTGCCTTTGCATTGAGCTGTATCCCCAGACCTGTAAAATTTTAAGACAGGGTCTTATTCACTAAGTTGCTCCAGCAGGGCCCAAACTTGCTTCACCCTTCTGAAGTGCTGAGATCAAAGGCATGGGCCACTGTGCCCTTTAAAAAGAACTCATCAGTGGAGTAGTCTGTGGAGGGGCCATAGCTAAGTGTGCTCTGGGAGCTGGGTTCTGGTTGGAGGAGGTGGTCACCAAGAGTGACTGGGAAGGGTCTGTTCTTGCCCCCAGCTCCTCCCTCTCTCTCTTCCTGGCTGCCATGGGGTGAGTAGCTGTCCTTTGCCACACTCTTCCACCATGTTTTCCTGCCTCGGAGCCAGCTGGGCATGGACTGAAGCCTCTAAAATGAACCAAACTAAACCTCTTTGCCACATGACAGTGTTGCAGAGGCCAGCAACATGGCCAGTGAAAGAACTTACCAAGACAGAAACCGAGACAGAGAGCAGTTGAATAGTCGCACTGTAAAGGGGCAGGTGAGACAGAGAGACCTGTGTTCAGGAGTAGGGCAAGTGCTGTTTTTAACAGGCTGGAAGAGGGGAGTGGTTGTTTTGGTATTAGCCTGGGAAAAGCAAGGACCCTTTTTAAGGGTTTCTTGAGCTTGAAACAGTTGTAGATAAAGCTTGTAGGTATGGGAAAGGAATGTTGGGGGGAGGATAAGGTGGGGCCATGTGCACTTTGGTGCATGTTGTCCTTATAGGTCTTACAGCAGTGGTCAAGGCCTGGGACAGGAATGTTAAAGGTTAGCTTTGCTATAGCTTTCTGGAATGGTTCGTTTCTGAGTGGAGTACGTGACTGTGATGTACAGCTGAATGGAGCAACGTGGTGGCCAAAATGGCTTCTCTTTGATTGTTTAATGCCTCACGCTCTCTTGCTTTAAGTGGTGGGTGTTGGGTATTTTGTCCCAATGATGGAAAGGTGACTAATACAGAAAATTGATACCAGGAGTGGGGTTGCTGCTGTGGCTGTACCTGTCCATGTGGTTCAGAAGACTTTGGAACAGGTTTGTGGGAGAGGTTTGGAAATGTTTGTAGATGCAGGCTAGAGAAGCTCTAGAATGTTGTAAGCAGAGCTTGGTTGGCAATTTGGTCAGAACTCAAAGACCAAAATGCTGATAAGGATATGGACAATAAAGGCCAGACTCAAAAGGTTTCACTTAGGAACAGGGACTCTTGGGAAATGGGCCAGAGGCCATGTGTGTTACATTCAGGCAAATAACTTTTCTTCTTTTTATCCATGTTCTAAGACTTTTTATGAGACTAAATTTAGAGACGGAAGACTAATCTGGTGGAGGAAATTTCAAGGCGGCCCAGTGTTCAGGCTGGCTGCTTTCAGCCAGATAACAAGAACCAGGAGCAAAAAACAAAGCTAAAATATATAGAAATTGTGCACTGGGCTACAGAACGCCTCTAAAGTTGGGGCAAAGGAGAGCATGTTACTAAAAATATTAATATCATTAAAAAGAAGCCAGGGCCGGGGATTTAGCTCAGTGGCATTGTGCCTGCCTTGCAAGCGCAAGGTTCTGAGTTCGATCCCCAGTACAAAAAAAAAAAGGAAGCCAAATACTTTTTATTGGGACAAAAAAAAAATCCCTTGAGGACATCTCAGGAATTGGCCTGATCCCACTCATCACATGCTCAACTTATAAAAAAGTAAACTCTCTTAAAAGCCTTTGCTTTGAGAAAGGGGCTCCAGGGCTCCCTGCTCACTCAGGGCTACCTAGGGAAGAGTATCCCTGAGTTTAGCCATCCAGGCACTTAGAGGCCACTTCAGCCATGGACCAAGGGAGCCACGGCACTGCTCAAGCTGGCAACAGACATCAGACATCCACACAGTGCTATTTTTACCAGT